TTATTCTTTCCTTCACCTCTTCCTCTTGTTTGCTTCTTCTTCTTCTTCTTCTTCTTCGTCTTCCACTTCTTCTTCTTCTTACTCTATTTCATCTTGCTCTCCTTATTCTTTCCTACACCTCTTCCTCTTTTTTGCTTCTTCTTCTTCGTCTTCCACTTCTTCTTCTTCTTGCTCCTCTTATTATTTTTCTTCTTGCTCTTCTTATTATTTCCTTCAACTTTTCCTCTTCTTTATGTCTTCATCTTTTTTACTTCTTTTTCTTCTTGCTCTTCTTCTTCTTCGTCTTATTCTTCCTCTTCGTCTTATTCTTCTTCTTTATTTTATGCATTCCTTAACTTTTTCTTCTACTTTACTTCTTCTTTTCTTCCCTCCTTTTCTTATTCTTCTTCTTATATTTCCTACTCTACTTCATCTTTCACTTCTACTTATCCCTTTTCTTCAGCTTCTTTTTCTTTGTTTCTTTTGCTTATTTCTCCTCTTCTTCTTCTTTTTACTCTTCCCGTTTCTTCTTTTCCTTCTTTTAATTCTTTTTCGTCTTTTTATTCTTCTTCTTCTTCTCATTCTTTCCTTCATTTTTCCTTCTTCATTACTTCTTATTTTTCCATCCTCTTCTTCTTCTTCTTTTTCTTTGTATTCTTTCCTTCTTCTTCTATTCTTCTTCTTCTTATATTTCCTCTTCTGCTTCAACTTTCACTTTTACTTATTCTTCATCTTCAGTTTCTTCTTCTTTGATTCTTTTGCTTCTCTCTCCTCTTCTTCTTCTTTTTACTCTTCTCGTTATCTTCATTATCATTTTGCTTCCCTTTATATTTCTTCTTCTACGGCTACCAATTCTTCTGTTCTTTGTCATCATTTTTCACTATACTTCCTTTCTTCTTCTTCTTCTTATCTTTCTTCTTCTTCTTCTACAGCCACGTTTTCTTCTTCATCTTTTGCTGCTGTTTGCCCATCTCCTTCTAATTCTTCTACTTATTTATTTACTTTCTCCTCTTCTTCGTCTTCTTTATCTTCTACTCCTTTTTCTGACATAACCTAGCCAGCCTGCAATCGGGAAGCCGGTTTGGGAAGGATAGTGGGGTAGAAACTCTTGTGGCATCCACTGCCCCGTCGTGATTTCGAAATTATGTTTTGCGGGGGTGACAATGAAGGTATTTTCGGCGTTGCCTAAATATAGCCGTCTGTAGTCCCAGATGAAATGGCTGTCTCCGAATTGCAGAATTTGTTACCAAATCGATCATGTTGTGATAGACATAAGACTTAAATATCTGAAGTGTTCCAAATGTGCATACGTTTGAAGGATCCAACATCTATTCAGACAACTACCTTGTAGTGGCAAAGATACGCACCCGTCTCTTTGTAACAAAGGCCACACGTCCTTCAAGCGATGGAACAGATATCTCATTGCTCGACTATGTTGAAATTCGAATAGCTGTCGTTCGCCTGAAGAATAGCAAAGTGGCAGGGAAGGTGGCTTAGCGACTGTGCCATTCAAATACGGCGTTACTGCCTCTATGCCGCTGTGTGTGAATCAGGAGATCAGGAGACACTAAACGCTTCCCACTGCTCGATAGTAAAGTCTCCTCTTGACAAACACACACTTTATTGCCACTAAGAGTACTGGATAATTATTTGGGAAGGTTTATATGTATTTATTCTTTACACTTTTAATTATATTTTTGCATATTTTTCAAATAATCCTGAGGGTTTTGTAAGTGGCTTATCAGTAACCAGCCACTCTTGGCATGTAAGAGTCAATTAAAATATGCGAAAAATAAATATGAAGTTTTCAAAATTGTTAAGTGCANAAAAGTTTGAAAGTAACGAGCAATAAAGAAGAATCTTGAAATTTCTATTAAGAAGATAAAATATCTGTTCTTTTTTTTATTTCATAACATCGTTGGGTGACGAGGCATCTGATTAACATTTCACCACCCTCCGGCATTGGAAATTCACCACTTACTTACTTAAACTTATAATTGGGAGAGAATCAGCTGAATTGGGATGAGATGGCACTGCGTCTGGTATTAGAAAAAGTCAGGCGAGCTGAACTCTCTCCAGAAAATGGAACCCTGTTAGGTAATAGTAGAGTCAAGGCTGGGAATTGCTTGCATTTCACAAGAAGACGCTTGACTGCCTGAGTTTATAGTTGAAAAATGTATTACTTCGGCTTGGAAGGCGCTTGCAGTGAAATAGAAGACCAAGCGTTTAAATTTTTTACAGTTTAAAACAGCTTCAAGTGGTGGAATAGACGACAGAAGAATTTTTGTGAGGGATATTATTCAGGTACATTAAGTTATACCAATATCTCCCTCTCTCTTAATCTTAATTCATATTTTACTGTGTTTTATCCAATGCGAGAGTAGGTTTTTGGTTGGGCAAAAGGACGCTTCGAGGGTCTTTAGTCTACCTTTTAATACCTACCGGAGTTTTCATGCGATGTTCACTCTATTTAAATCATTCATTATGTAGCTGGTTCCGAGCACCAAGTTGCCTAGTTCTAGGACTTTCGCTTCCAGTTACCCTTGTTTTAATTTAAATTTTTTTCCATGGATTCAAGGATTTATGCTGTCTAAGCTCTCCGCCTGCAAACTTGTTCCTTCCTAAGTCTTACGGTGAGAAAATTCTAGGCCGCTGATTCTCGTGAATGTTGATATTACTTCTTACTAACATTCGTACAATCTCCAATGTATCAGGTAAGCTTAACGACTTGGTCGAATAAAGTCCTTTACTGCACGGCAACTACTGCCTGTGAAATCCTTCAGCAGCTGAATAAAGAAGTGCCAGCTTGAAGTGAATATGAAAATCGCTGATATAAAAATTGCAATAAAAAATCAAATTTACTGGGAGTCACATTCGACAGTCGGCCCTCCCTCCCCATGCGACTGCGATTGTTACCAAAGTACAGAACCTCAACAAAATCGCTAAATCACTTTCCGGAAAAGAGAAGGCAGGTACTGCTCAACTATCAGACAGATCAGAAAGTGAGTACTTAACGCACTCCATTCAGCTATATTTGAAGACCGCTAGACAAGCTGACCTACCGAGTCCAAGCCTGTCTAAACAACACGTTAGAACCTCCCGTTAGATGACCTAGAGTAGTCTCGCCTACTCCTAAGCGGGTTTGGTAGGCCCAAAGAGTCTGTCGACAGCTTCATTAACTCTCTGCCGGTGAATGATGTGCACCAACCGTACATACGTCTGGGGGACTAACTTTTAACACTCTAATAACACTGACACTAATAAAGCAAGTAAGCTCAACTCCTGGCAATCCACAGGCGACGACGACATATTTAGAGTACCCGCAGGACACTAATAACCTTTTCGCATGCCCACCTAAACCCACTCATCCAACACGCACATCCAACTGGCGTGAAACAGCTCGTTTACTGGACCGCCTACAACAACAACAATAATAATGTCGTGCTTTCTTCTCTATGCGATTGTTTGAAGTGGGTGAGTGGAGTCATTCTGTTAACTTTCATTCTTCCAAAATCCTTTAATTTTTTTAATTTCATTAAAACCGTTAGAATATGTTTTTTTATCATAATTTAATTTTATTTATTACGAATCGTTTTATTCTTGTCATATTTGCTTCGCCATTATATGCAAACCGTGGTTTGTTATTATTATTATTTTTTTGTTTATGTTTTGTTTTGAAAATAGTTAATAGAAATAGATTTTTATTTTCATTAGCGTTAAACTATATTTCTTTTTGTTTTTGTTTATTTGTTTGCTTGTTTGTTTTTGCTATGTAAATTAAAATTATTCAATGCTTTACACCACTAATTAAATTGTTATATAATTAATATATGTATGTATATATATATATATATACTTTTGTATACATTTATAGTTATTTTAAGTTATATAGATTTTTTTGTATACATTTATTTTTAATTTTTATAGTAATAAATTGCTGCACAAATAAACTAACATATTTTTTAAATTTATTTCTAGAGAAAACATATGTATATGTATGTATATATGTATATAAAAAAGTTCAATTGCATGAGGAAGAAAATAATTTAAAAAAAAAATTGTAAATTTGCATAGGAAAAAATATCAAAGATGATTGCAGCTAAAAGCAATTCGAAATAGTTTTAAATTCAATTAGAAAGACAAAGCATTGCCAATAGCAACAAATTCAATTGTACTTTTAAAACTACTGAAAATCTCATTACACTAAAAGTTAGTAGAAATGCATTGCTGATTTTTTTTTAATTATTTTTTTTTTAATTATTTTTTTTTTAATATTTTTTTTTAATAATTTTTTTTTAATTATTTTTTTTTTAATTATTTTTTCTTTTGGAATTTTTTTACAATTTTTCTGCGTGGAATTGTTAAATTATGCATTTTGCACTACCAATTACTTAATACAACTTTTTTCTTGTTTTTACTGCAGTTTTCAAGCAGCATTTGCTTTCGAGCTCAAGCAGTTTTTTTTAATCAATTTTTTTTTTTTTTTTTAATTTTCAAATGCACACAATAAAGTACGCCAATATGAAAAAGCAAAAACAAATATATGTAAAATCACTAGAAAAGTTTTTTTAGTTTCTTTTTCAGTGCAATACAACAGTCAATTGAACTTACATAAATATTGTGAATTGTAGATTATAACCTAAAAACGCTTCAAATGCTTGCACAAAATTACAAATAAAACTGTTATCACTGTTATTTTATTGAAATTCTCGTATTTTTTTTGCAATAAATAAAATGTCAAACTGCAAAAAAAAATTACTATTACTGCGTACAATATTTCAAACATTAACATTTTCAATTCAAATATTGTACCGCTATCTTATTTTGCAGTTTCTCTTTTATGCAACTGTTCTCTTTTGTGTTTTACATAGCTTTGCTAAGCTTTTTTTCTGAAACAAACGGTACATTTTTATGTGTTTTCTGCTGCTTAAATTGTTTCACAGCAGATTTTTTTTACTATTGCCATGGCAAACCAAAAAAAAAAATTCATTAAATATTTTGTTTATTTATCAGCTTAATAGTGTATATTTTTTATCTATTTGTAAAAATGTAAATTGCATTAATTGTTTTTTCAGTATTAAATATTAATTTCATTAATTAACATTATGCACTTCACTCGAACTGATGATCTCAAATTGGTCCTTGCCGGAGATTTCCGAATCTGATTCGGAGGGCGTATGTGAGCTAGAAAAAGAAAGAAAGACTCAATTCTTTCGGTTTATTAATAAAAAAATATTTGTTCCACAGATTGCTGGTGTTAGCCTGATTATCTCATTTATCTTTCCACATGAAATTTTCGGGTTACTCAATCGTCTGATGAACAAGCAAGATGTAGAGCGTAAATTCAAAGATGAATTATGAGGAACATATTTATTTTATATAATGTATATATGTGAGTAACGCAAAAGTTTGAAAGTAACGAGCAATAAAGAAGAATCTTGAAATTTCTATTAAGAAGATAAAATATCTGTTCTTTTTTTTATTTCATAACATCGTTGGGTGACGAGGCATCTGATTAACATTTCACCACCCTCCGGCATTGGAAATTCACCACTTACTTACTTAAACTTATAATTAAGGGAGAATCAGCTGAATTGGGATGAGATCCAGCCACTCTTGGCATGTAAGAGTCAATTGAAATATGCGAAAAATAAATATGAAGTTTTCAAAATTGTTAAGTGCAGTTATATATATATATACTCTTTCCCGGTAAGAATTATAATTTCATAATAACTTTTGTCCCTCAATCACATTATTGCTGATTTAATTATTTAGTAGCACTTAAAAGTAATTGAGTCGCCTCATTCGTGGTATTTTTAAAATAATGCATACAAACATACATATTGCCATAATTTACAGTTATTATTATTTTGCTGATGTGTTTATTTTTAGCCGCTCAATTAACCATACACTGACTGACTGGCTGCTGGTGTAAATCAAAAATCGCACGCCTACAATAACAACACACACGAGCAATGCAGAGGAGTGCTGTGAGTAGACGCCGGAAATGCAATAAATTGTTGGAATTCGAGTGTGTGTGTGAGGATGTGAAGCTAGAGGGAGCTAAAGGGCGAAATGAACTTATGCTTAATAAAAGGCGGATTGCACAGAATGTTCGAATGTTCAACAATCCGGTGTCGGCATTTCTCGCTGCAATGAGTNGAAAATGTAAAAAATAAAATTCCATTATTTAAAAAGAAAAAAAATAAACTAAACAGTTATTGTTATACCACTTATTAAAAATATAAAAAATTAGAATGAAGTATAATTGAAAAATAAGAATAAGAAAATAAATATAAATAGAAAAAAATATGTAAATTTCCATAGGTATGCCTCTGTAGGTAGGAAAAAAGTATAACAATTAAATAACAATTAAAATAAAATTAAAATTAATTGGTTTAACAGATTTTTTTTAACAATAAATTTCATAATTATTTCATTTATATTGCTATGAAGCAATTAATTGTAGCAAACAAAATTTTGGAAGCTTAATAATGATAATTATTCACCCAAATTCATTGTGAATTATGTATGCTAGTAAATTTTGCAATCAGTTGTGTCATACACTATGCAGTTGACGATACAAAGGATCACTGACTGGAATCTTTCTAAAAAAAAAATCGTTGGACTTTAAGATTGTTCAGTAAAGTTACGGTTTTATTATATCTCAATATGAAGAAAGTGAATGAGTTTCGAAGGAGTGCTAACAGATGTAAATGAAAAAGAAGATTATACGAAGACCGGATTTGAATCCACTCAACGCTGTCAAACCACTTAGACCAATTAAAATATAAAGAATTAAAAAATGCTGTGCAATTTGTTTTTATAACTAAAATTAAAATGTTATCATAAACAAAGAATTTTTCGTTTTCGAAAAAGAAAGCCTTTTGCCAGTTAGTGCTGAGCAACTCCTTATGGTCTAAGAATAACTGGTGATACCACTTAATCAATTATAAGCTACAATTTTCATAGTAAAAGTAGTTTTTAATAAAAAAAAATCAGCGCTCTTGGTTTAAGAATAAATATTTGAAAAGAATTTTTGCCGTTTCCATAATAAAAATTTTGTTTAGTATAAAACTAAACATCAGTGAGAATAATATATTCCATTATCAACTACAAAAACAGTTTCCAATAATACTTATTTAACACTGCTATTAGCCGGATAAGGAATTTTGTTTTTCATTTTAAAAGCGGCTGAGAACTATTATATTGCATTAGATTTTAGAATTTACAATAATGTATTTTCTTTGTTCTGTTAATAAATGATTTTTTTTTTATATAAAGCAAAATTCGCAATAACTTTTCAATCGAAATTCAGCGAAGTAAATGTAAATACTATATTGATGTTTATCTGAAGATGAAAATTTATTATTTGAGGTTAGAATTAGTTCCTTATAAAATCCATTAGTTAGCAAAATGACCAATATTAAACCAAGCGGATGTATGTTAATGCATTATAAGCCTAGAACTGAATTAATCCGCCACAACCAATTTAATAAATTCATATATTTTTTATATATTTTATTAATTGCATAAATTAAATATTTCTATATAAAATGTATTAATTTTAATAAATGCTACAAATAATATATTCAAGATTGCACGAGATTTCATGTAATATTACAGCAGTGTGTGTATGTATGTATATTTAATAAAATGAATTGAATGTTAATTGAAAGGGACATGCAAAAATAGATATAGAAATAATATCGAATGTCAAAAATATTGTTATTAAAATAAAATTAAAAAGCATATTTTTACATGAACTATTAAATTAAATAAGTGAAAAAATAGTGGCACGGCGCGCTCTCCAATGCCGCCAAAAGAGATTCGCACAAACCCAAATTGCTGCCGCAAGCTAGCTGCAGCTACTGCTCACCCTTTAGCGTCCGACTTAACAGCCGTTTCGCTGTTTTCACCGCCGTCCTCTGAATTGCCCGTTGTTGCGCTGTCGCCAGCGACATTGCGATGACGCAATTCCATATCCGCATCATGTTCTTTCACCTCTTCAATTTTCTCCGGTTCTAGTGGTATCGCTTCGGGTGCAGTATCTTCTTCGGCATCACTGTCCTTCTCCTTCTTCTTCGATTTAGATTTGGAACGTTTGTCCGTTGGCTTCGATTTTTCCTCCTCAGCAATGTAATTGCTCTGTATCAAATTTGTTTTATGAATATTGTTGTTGTTGTAAAACGTTAAAAAGAAATATAAGAGTTACAAATTGTATTTATACGTAGAGAAAACACACCAACTACTCACTTCATAGAGTGGCCAGAACGATGCAAAGAATCCCACATCTTCGGTCAAATTCGGCAGTAACCAGAAATGCAATTTCCCATAAGACAGCAACCAAACGAGCGTGAAAACAATTAGTCGTACCACTGTAAGAGCCAAAATGACAACAAGGAATCCAGCTGCCGCCACTGATAGGTAGTAGACACCTTTACGCAATAATGGCGGCCATAACGGGAACAAGCAGATTAATATAGCGCCCAGCAATAAAATCAAGCCATAAATCCAATAGTGTAGGGGTATGGGATCATAAATCCAAATGTACGCCTCAGAGCCATCAACGAAAATCTGCTCCGGATGCATATCCAAACGGATTTTTCGCTTACGTTTCTCTTTCTTTTCGCCACCAGCGCCGCCAGCACCGGCACTGATATTACCATCACCATTGCCATTATTACCACCGCTTGCTTCAGCCTCAGCTTCCGTATCTTTCTTTTCATCCTTTTCCTTCTTACCACCGCTGGTGTTCTTGTGTTCTTTATCATCACCTTTGTTTTTCGTTGTTTTGCCAGCTATGGCAGCTGACGCAGCACTGCCACGCAACTCCTCCAATGAGACGGGTACCTTTTTGGCGCGATGGAAAAACTTATGCTCCAACATCATATCCAAATATTCAATAGCTTGTTCACGTGTAGTGAAGAGTGCGTCATCGCCTTGTGCGAATTTGGATTTCAACAAAGCATCGACCGCCTTATTCGATATGAAGTATGTAACATTGTGGCTGAGAAATTTGGTTTTCTTCGATTTAATGTTTGCCCTCATCCATTTGGCGACCTTGAATTCATCCTTCGTTGGCTTTTCCACCTCCTGCTCACCAGGACCGGTGTACTCCTGGAAATTTATGAAAGAAGAAATTATTTGCGATTAATAATTGAATGTTGAAAACTCGACTAATTTTCAGGTTAGGTTTCGTTTACTCAAATATACGTTTACCACACAAAATTCCCCAAAGGAGGGAAAGTGAGAATTAAAAACGAATAAAAGTAGAAAAACATAATAAACTAAAGCAGAAAAAACAATACAATTAATAAAATAAATAAATTTAAAGCTATTAAATAAAATAAAATATTACAAAATAATATAAAATAAACTAAAATTAAAAAGTAAATTAAAATTAAATGAAATTTAATTAAAATAAAACCAAAGTAAGAACAAAAGCAATTAAAATAAATTTAATAAAACAAAATAGCTATAAATGCAATAAAAAACAATGTAAAAAATAAATAAATAAATAAACTAAATTGAGTTAACATAAAATAAAGTGAAGACAAGATGAATAAAAAATTAAACAAACAAAAAGAAAGTGGCAAATTTAACTGAATTAAAAGAGATTAAAATAAAAAAAGTAAGGATATATGCATAAAATAAAAAAATAATATACAGCATCTAAAATAAAATAAAGTATATTAAAATAAAATTGGTAAAATAAAAAATAAAACAAGAACTAAAATAAAATAAAAAAAATTAAAAAAAATATTTAAAATAATTAAAGCTGAATAAAATAAAATCAAATAAAATAAAATAAAACAAAATAAAATAAAATAAAATAAAATAAAATAAAATAAAATAAAATAAAATAAAATAAAATAAAATAAAATAAAATAAAATAAAAATTTAAATAAAAACAAAATTAAATAAATGAAATTGAATTAAAATACAATAACACCGGATAATAAATATAAATCAAAATAAAATAAAATCAATATATAAATAATAAATAAAAACATAAAATGAAAATTTAAGTACAAAATACACAAAAATAATACAAAAAAAACTAATTAAATAAAACCAATTAAAATATGAAATGAATTAAAAAAAAAAATAAAAAAAATAAAAGCGAACGAAAAATATGAAAAATGAATAATATAATTAAAAATAAAAAGCAAAATTAAATTATTTTAAAATTAAACAAATAAAATAAGAAATAAAGTGTAATAAAATGAAAAGAAACCAAATCAAATAAAGTAAAATAAAACAAATTTAAATAAAATAACATAAATTTATATAAAAAAAAAAATAAAATAAATAATATAGATCAAATAAAATAAACTTAAACAAACTAAAATAAAAAAGAAAAGTTATAAAACATTATTATTTTTATTATTATTATTTTTTTTTATTTCCATTTTTTTTATTCCCATTAATTTTTTAGTGGTACACTCAGCTCGAATTTTGCTTATGAACCATCTCATCATAAAAAATTCTTTACCCTTTACCACAACATTACACAAAGAATTAAAAAAAAATATGTTTATCAAAATTTGTAAGCATTAATCAATGCTTTTTCTTTCCACAAATGACGTCATGGTGAGGCGCGCGCTAAGCCGAAATCGCATGTGAACACCCACTTGGGCAACTAGCAAAAGCACAACGCTGATGTGTCAAAGTTTTCGCGAACGTCTCGGTGACGTGGTGTTTTCCCCCGGAAACCCAGTCAAAGTAAATGTTTGCACACGTTGTCGCATTTGAAGCGATTATTAGACAACTTTCGAATGCATAGTGATAATTTGTGAAATTATTTCTATTGTGCTTATAGAAAATGTCAACTTTTATCAGTAGCTAATCGAACGGAGTCAATTATACAGTTGAGCATGTAGATAAATTTTTCAAAGAAAGATGTTATGATTTACATTTTCTCAACAACGCAATAAAATCATTAAAATTTAAAACAAGTTTAGAAGACACTGCGATGAAATATTGGAAATAACACGAAATTAATGAATTTCCTACGTTGCCACACAGTTGAGTTCGTTCACAATGTTAGCACAAATACAAGAAAATTGCGAAATAGCAAGGCACAGTTTACTAACAGTTCCATCGTCCTCGACATATTGCTCCAGTTCCTCCTCATAGTTTGTTGTTTCCTCTTCCATGTTTGTTTGAAAAATAAATTTATATTGAAATTTTAATTAGTCTTTAATACAATTTAAACGCTTATAAAGCTCCAAACTTTGCTTTTTTTATTTTTTATTGTACGACTAATTCTATTTCTTTTAAAACTTAAAAAAATAAGTCACGTTGTTATTAAGCGCTTGATCGCTCGCAAATTCCCTAAACAATACTAAAACTGAATATGAAAACAACAGCGTGAGCAACAAGTGGTAAGACACAACGATCAGTCAGCGAGCCAACAAGCAAGTCAGTCAGTGGAACAACTTTCTCCGCTAGTAATAACAACAGCAACAAACAAAGCTGTGAGTTCAATATGTATGTACATACAAATATTATATATGTATGTATGTGGCATATAATTTTAATAACAAAACCACGAAGTAGCTAAAAGCACTTTAAATTTACAAACGAGCAACACAGCAAACAGAAGAACGAAAACGAACTTCTCGTCGATGGCTGACTGCTAATAATTGTTAAAATAATCAGAAACAGCTGAGAGACACAGTAAGTTATTACAAAAAAAAACTTTGTTACTCAAACCAGTGCTAAGCTTACTGACTTAACAGTGAGTTGTTGAGTGGATTGGAGCGCTGGAGAAACGGGAAACCCCCAAACGAGGTTAAAGAAGAGATCTGCTCGTTGCTCACGATAAATAAAATAAAATAAAATAACGGGAAACCCCCAAACGAGGTTAAAGAAGAGATCTGCTCGTTGCTCACGATAAATTGTGTCAGGGTTTGTGCAGAAAAAAAATATAAAAAAAAAATATTTTTTTTTTGAGTGTAAACAGCAGTTTGAGTAATTTTTATTTGTTTATTTCGTATTTCATAAAATACATATTTTTTTTATAAAATGATTTGCGCTCAAAACTGGTTTAGTTGGTATTTCTGGTTGCACTTTGCTTGCAGCAAACTTTTCAAGCCTTTCTTTCAGCTGTTTTACTACGTCACACGCAGCAGCAGACGCCAATTAGCAAATTGTAGGTTTACATTGCACCGTAAAAGCAGTATAATAACTAAATATACATTTAAAAATTATTAGTCTATGACGAATTATTTTAATTTTTTACGATGCTGGAATTCAGTCGTTTAATATTGCTTGAAGATGAGAGCCTTCTTCGTTATCAGAATATGACTTAATACAGCTTTAATTTAATTTTTTAATTTAATTTATTTAATTTTTTTGTCTGTTTCGTATCAACAAATATGATTGTATTTCGATAGTTTTTGCTTTCCATTTTCAAATACCGCTTTGTCATCGAACGCATGAGCTGTATACAGCATAATTTCAACCATTGCTCACATCATCTGCCCTTTACGACGTTATCTCCCATTCGAAATGAGTTTAATTTTTCAATTATTCCAAGCAATTACTGCATACATATGTAGTGAAATACAAAACGAAATGAAGCTTGCCAAAAAAGAAGAGAATAATATTCAAATTAATATGTTTGAACAGCGAGGTTTTTAAAATCGGAAATAATTTGCATTGAAACTTACTCTTGTAATGTCAATGGTAGCTGTTGAGCGGAAATGTTTTCAATATTTTTTAAAACAATTTTCCTATTTACAGCTTTGAAGAGATCTTCCTTTCAAGTGGTATCAGCCAAATTTAGAAATTCTTGCTGGATATATTTACAACGTTCATTTGAATATATGTATAATATGTACACATATGTAAAATATATATTCGTAGATACTTTTGTATTTTTTGTATACCTTTGGTATTTGTACTTGCGCATTGAAATGGCTACGGAAAATGATAGGAAAACAAAAATAAACAAACTAACAAAAATATGTTTTTTGATTGTGCGCCTATTTCTTATATGTAAGTTGTGCCTAAATACACACATATACACTCATTGGTATATATACATAAATATTAACACTATATGTATATGTATATGATTTCCAAAAGTAACTGGGAGAGGGTCAAATAGAGGAGAATATTAGTATAACTACTTCGAAATAAGTTACAAAATGTAAGGATTGAATCACATTTCACTATTAATACAACTTTCACTATCTACAATGTTTGCATTAAGAGCACATTAAAATGTATGACATTACTAAAACGTAATATTTATGTATATAGTAATAATTTAAATAAATTTCAAAATGATTTCTAATGACCTTCAAATTACATGCAATCGAACCAATCTCCCACCTAGCACCTGCTGTCAATCCGAAACATTCAATTTGGTACTATTCTATGCGAACAAGTTCATTGCTGCAAATGTGAATGATACATACATATATAATAAATTCTACATGTTTTCATTTATGAGCCTCTTAAATTTACTATTCCCAGCAGCTTTCTTCTACCGCTTATCAATATATAGTGGATAAGCCTGTGTCGTCTAACAACAGCATTCAATAGCTGCTATAAATTAGCGCTGCTCAAGTACACTTTCGCAACACAGCCTAATTGATCATAACGTAATCTTATCTGAATGTGTGAATTTATTGAAATTCTTTTTGTTTTCTTTAGGAAAATACCAATCAAAATAAATTATGCATCTTACTTAACAAGTAAATAAAAGCCCACGCAGGTGAAAATGTAGTTATCAACAAATGCATGACGGAGAGAAAAATATATGTGAAGCAGATAAATGGGAGTAAAAATGAAATGTGGGGTCACAAATGATAATTAGCAAAGTGTGAGCGAGTAAACGCGTTGTTTTCTACAAAAACCACGTTGCCCCCCGTGACAAAACAATTTGCACAAACCATCACACGTACGCCAAGTAGGATTTCATGTAAGCAGAAAAAACAAATTTGCTTTATACAGCCTAGCACTTTATCTCAGTTTTGCCAACATTCAACTTCTTCATGAAATTGTTTTTCCAGCAACAAACACCAGCACAGTATGATGTCAATGTCCAATATTCCGAATTTGTGGGTTTTCACTTGACATACGTACACGTATATTGCTAGTTGGTACATTTTCAATAATTACAGCTGATAATTTCCAATTTCCAAAGCATAACCGCGACCCTTTGATTGTCCAAAAGTTTAACTTTTTTGCTTGCTTATTCAATAGCAGCATTATACACGCCAGCAGGCTGATTTTTCATGTGCGCAATAACATTTCCGTAATTAAATTCTCATTTACACAGATACGCAATTATCATGCGACAAACATTTTGTAAAGATTACGCATAAAACTAATAATTTTCATGCTCGACTGATTATTTTATTCCACTTTAAACGAAAAATACATTACGTTTCTACTTCTTTTCACACACTTACATCCTTACGGCGCCTTGCACGTTTCTTCTCTGACATTTTCACTAAACTCTTCTCAAAGGTTTTGCACTTATTGTTTTATAATTACACTGTTTAAATTAGTTTAATTATTTGCATAAAATTTTCTTTTACATATATTCACTCAACACTTTTTTCACTTCCACCTCCACTGAATTCAAGATTCGAAATGATTTTCGCATCTTATTTTTGTATTGGATTTGCAAGTGAAGGAGAGCATTATTGTACAGGTGCCGAGTAACCAAGTTATGCGAACAACAGAAAAGGATGTAAGTACGGCACGGGAGCTAAAACGAAATAAGTAGTAAATTTAGTAACCTCATCTCTGTCTAATTGGACACAACTTATGCCAAATGACTTTGTATCCAAAAATCTGAATTTTACTAAAATGCAAAATTTGATTATTCCTTTTTATACATTATTTTAACGGCATATTTATGCATTATCTCAAACGAACAAAGATGTGTATTAAAATTTAATTTAAATTTAAATTATTTTGTTTTTGCAGTAATGTTTTGTTCAACTTATTTTCTAGCAACGGCATTCCTAGTCTACAGTCAGCTGTTTTTGTTTTGATAAATTGTGAATACAACACTGTGTGTTACTTAAACAAAACAAATGCCGAATAAATACAAGTTTTCGACTACTCGTAGATAATATTATTTGTACAAAATAATAATTTAATAATAATCGAGGAGCCTGTAAGTGTTGATGCAGATAAAACAAATAATTGTCTTATAAGTCTTTACATTACAAAAGGTTGTCGGCGGTTAATATTTGCAAAATATGATACTTGGGGCAGGTCAACTAAAATTTCTGCCAGGTCTTTGCTGGCGCACTGCAACTTTGCAATATAGAGAAATGCACATCAAACGTGCAGAATTATATAAGGTAAATATCGTTGTAACTCATTTCGTAAACCAGCAGCATATACCAATTAATGATAACCTGTAGGCCTAAGTGGGGTTAGGTGTCTTTGACCACCCTGAAAATACCCGATGTGTGGAAAATGGGTAGGGTGGTCCCGCTACTAAAACCGGGGAAACCAGCCAACAAAGGAGAGTCCTATCGGCCGATAACTCTCCTCTCCCCAGTAGCGAAGACACTTGAGGCCTTACTGCTCCCAACCTTCACTAAACATCTGCGTCCAGCAGTGCATCAGCATGGCTTCCGAAAAGTGCACAGCACCACAACAGCGCTTAACGCCATAAACACCCAGATGGCCTTAACCAAAACCGACCCTGCGCGCGAACTGTCCTAGTAGCACTGGACTTGTCAAAAGCTTTTGACACAGTCAATCACTCAGTGCTACTAACGGACATTGAGGAATCCTCTGAATCTGTAATTTTCCGAGGTGTAACATCTAAACCTAGAAAAATTAAACAGGGGCTCGGCTGGGTGGTGTCCTCTCCCCGCTACTGTTTAAGTTTTACATTTTGAAACTCCCTCCACCACCAGATGGAGTTTCCCTAACCTCGTATGCCGATGACTGTACGATAATGGCGTCTGGCCAGGATATTGATGAACTCCGCTCGAAAGTAAACGGCCACCTCGCTGATCTCTCCCACTTCACTGCAAGACAACTACGAATTCAACAGACAAAATCCCCGGCTACCCTCTTCACCAGCTGGACGAAGGAATATAGGCTTGAACTAGATGTGAAGGTCGATGGCACAAAAATTCCGACGGTAAATAACCCAAAAATATTGGGAGTAACCCTAGACAGCCTGCACTCCTTCACTACGCCTACGACCGCAAACTTTGCTGGCTACTTACAAAGCAATTGGCCGGCCGGTCGTAAACTATGCTGCACCGATCTGGACGCCGGGGACGAACGAGACGCAGATGAAGAAGCTACAGGCTTGTCAGAACACCGCCCTCAGCACCGCGACAGGAAACCTCCTGATGTCGCCAGAGCATTACTTGCACAGAGAAGCATCTATGCTACCATAGGGAGCACCCCAGTAGGCACCTAATAGAGACTGAACCCCCACCTAGGCACATTAGAAAGGGAATACTAGACTTAAAGGACACAATCCAGCAACACATACAACAACCGCTGGACAGGACGGCGTACCGACAAGCACTGAACGCCATTCACCAGGAGTCAGTCAACACCTTCAAGGACTCCCTTCAAGTGAATGGCGTACTCGGAGAAATACCACCACCCATAGCAGACAACGAGCTCGAGCTGCCTCGAGAGACCCGCGTGACCCTGACACAACTCAGGTCTGGATATTGTAGCAGGTTAAACTCCTACCTATCCAGACTAGACCCCAACATACCCAATGTATGCCCTGCATGTGGAGAGTCTCCGCACGACACTAACATCTTCACATGCCCCCTCAAACCCACTCATGTAACCCCCCTCTCCCTTTGGTCCAACCCCGTCGAAACAGCTCGATTCCTGGACCTACCACTAGATGACCTCGGCCCCGATGGAAGAACGAAATGGTTGTGACCTAAGAAACCTACGAGCGTTTCAAACTCTAAAAATAAAAGTTGGCTATTTTAGTGCCAGGGTGCGCAAATAAAGCTTCTTCGATGTAACAGTCGATAGGACCTCTAGAAATGGTTCGAGACTTTCGATTCCGCTACCCAAATACGCTTAGCAGATTCCCAATTGAAAAAAAGTCCATCAAGTTACTTTGCTGTCACTTGAGACCGGGGAACCTTGCGGTTAAATTTGCTTGGGTGCCAGTGGTGCAACTACCCCTTGAAGTAAAGCCGCCCAGTTAACACTAAACTCTCCTTCAGGAAATAGCTACTGTAACAGATGAACTATAAGGTTAGAACCGAATAATTGTGCCGACTCCGACCGGCTGATGTTTTTTTACGAGGAGCCTTTAGTTTTCATGTCCGAAATACACTCGAAGGGGTGGAAATTTCCTGCCGAGGGGCGACCGCAGTTAGAAAATTTAACTTAAGTTTTTATTTAAATTAATATTCCATAGATTTTTGATGTTGGTGGCATCCGGATATGAGCCCGAGCCTTCCGAATGTCAGTACGCAATGCTAATTAATCGGCTACCACGGCCGCAGGATTGGTTAATGTAGTAAACTTAACTCCTACCTAACCATACACAACCCAGAATAACCAACTTGAGTCCTACAACCCATAAGTTCACACGCGATGCTAATCACATTTTCGCATATATCTTTCAACCGTTCCATTTAATAGAGTACTGCTTTCCTTACGAACCCATCCGAACATCATCACTCATTTAACAAATCTCTTCACAGAAATGCTTTCGCATATTGGGCGTCAACGAAGCAGCCGACCAGAACACTGTACGCAACGCATACATCGATTTAGTAAAGCGTGTGCACCCAGACTCCGGCCTGCCCGAAGCAAGCGCTGAACGCTTTCAAGAAGTGGACGAAGCATTCAAAGTGCTTCAGGAGAAATTTGCAAAAAATCGGCGCAACATAACTGAAGATGACGAAGAGGAAGTGCACGATATCAAGCATACGGCGCCACAACATCGCCAATACCTGAGCTATGACGGTATGGGCGTAGGCAATCCGTTTCAAAGACAAAAACAATACCAACAGATCAAAGCAATGAAAGCGCAGGAGCGTGTGCTCAGTCATCGTATCGAAAAATCACAAGCCGGCGAGGGTACGATAATGAAGAAGGGCACATTCTATAAGAATCATGCAATCAAAACAAAATACGGTTTCGATCGTATATGCGAGGATCTCATACAGGAGGCAATGGCAAAGGGTGATTTTGATAATTTGAAATGTGCGGGCAAACCGTTGAGCAGCGCACAAACACAAAATCCATATTTAGATTTTACAACGCATAAATTGAATAAAATACTGCTCGATAACGGTTTTACGCCCGAGTGGATAACATTGCAGCGCGACATACGCGAAGCTGTGGAGCGGTTGAAGAATGAACTGCGCACAGAGCGTGCCTACTACGGCGATTATCCGTTCGGCGTGGAAGAGAGTCGCGACTGGCAGGCAGTGCTGCAGCGCTACAGCGCTGACGTTAAGGAAATCAATAAAAGTATTGATAAATACAATTTAATTGTGCCAATATTGCAGAATCAGCTTTTCCGTTTGAATATGGAGAAGCTGTCCGAGCAGGTGATTAGCGATCCGAAAGCTTTGAAGAATTTCAAAAAGCAAAAGGAGCCACCGAGCGCGGTGGCAAGCGCTGAAAAGGCTGGCAAAACGGATATATTGTCGTTACTTGGCTCGTTGTTTTAAAGAGGAAAGGACTTGATTGTGAAAAGCAACTAAAGGAGATTTGTGCTTGTTAACTATGTATGTGATTAAAGGCCACTGTTGGCTGCGGTGATATGTACAAAAATATTGTTTATTGTTTTAAATAAATTAAAAAAAAAAATATTTTTCTAATTAAAATTTATTTCATTATATTTTTACAAGTTTTATAAACTTTATTATTATAAACATATTCATTATAAATGCAATCATTCAGTTTATATACATACATACATACATACACTGTATAATATCAATCAAATGTATGTAAGTTTTGAAAATGATTTAATTACCGAATATATACGTGAAAGAATTGACCGTACGCTCTGCAGCCTAGTACAAAATTTCAATTTTAAATTTTTTTAAACGAAATTTTTATATCCAGATCTGCACTTTGAAGTTTATTATGCTAAGGAAGTGACTAATTTATAGCTCAGAATTATATATATTTATTTTATTTCCCCCCCAAAAAAAACAATTACAAATTAACTTTTTAGAAAAAGAAAATCACGTGAAAATCACTTGGCCCTCCTGACTCAGTTTGACCGAATCCGTGGCTAGCAAACGTAGCGCTTTCGGAAAGGCAAAGTGCTCGGCTATCAGTATGCGACTGCTCAAGGTTTCTTCGGTATCATTCGGCAGTATGGGCACGCTGGACTGTACAATAATGCCGCCAGTATCCACGCCCTGAAATATTTACAAAAAAAATTGTTATTTCTAATTTATTTTATATTTCCAATTAACGCGGACCTCATCCACAAAGTGCACCGTGCAGCCGGACTCTTTGTCGCCCGCATCAAGCGCCTTCTGCTGCACCTTCAGTCCGGGATGTTTGGGCAGCAGCGACGGATGTATATTCACCAGGCGACCCTTCCACTGACGTACGAATTGCTCGCTCAGCACACGCATGAAACCAGCCAAACACACCAAATCGACTTTGTGCTCCAACAATTTTCTGCTCATTTCTGCGTCAAAGTCTTCACGTTTTGCGTACTGCTTGTGCGAGACTACCACAGTTGGTATGCCTGCTTTCTGCGCACGTTCCAAGCCCAAGACGCCCGCTTTATTCGAGATGACCAACACAATATCGGCATGCAGTCCTTGTGATGTGTCGCGGCTAGCGTCTATTAAGGCCTGCAGATTGCTACCCGTGCCGGATATGAGCACAGCAACACGTTTGCGTGGCTTGCGCAGCAGTTTCTGTGTGCGCTGCAGGCTTGACTGGAAGTTTTCAACGACGACTTGTGGCGCCGCGGGCTCGGCGCGTTTCAGCACCACACCCACACGTGTAGCGCGCTCGCGGTATTGTAGTGACCCCAGCACCGCTTGCTCGTGCGCCGGCGCGACTACCAATAATATGCCGAGTCCACAGTTGTAGGTACGTTGCATCTCCTGCGGCGCCACATTACCTTGCGCCGAAAGCCAGCCAAAAACAGGCGGTATGTGCCATTGTTTCGCATTCAGTCGCACGGAAAGTGTTTTAGGCAACACGCGCGGTATGTTCTCTGTCAACCCGCCGCCAGTTATGTGCGCCAAGGCCTTGACGTGACCCTTTTGTATGAGCGGCAGCAGCGCTTTTACGTAAATACGTGTAGGTGTCAGGAACTCCTCGCCGAAAGTGCGTTGACTGAAAGGCGCTTTGTCTTCGAATGTGACGCCAGCTTGCTTCATAATGGCATGCACTAAACTGAAGCCATTGCTATGTACGCCAGAGGAAGGCAGACCGATGAGTATGTCGCCAGATTGAATTTGGTCGGTGTGTGGCAGTAGACGACTGTATTCGGCAATACCCAGCGAGAAGCCGGCGAGATCGTAGACTTCGGAGGGATAAAGCAGCGGCACCTCGGCAATGTGTGTTTCTGTTAAAGAAAATTAAATTATTCATACTCCAACTGTTGCTTTAGCACACCCTACTCACCCACTAAACTGCTGCCCGCCTGTGCTGCGCCTTCTATTACGCCACCTGTGATGGTGGTTGCCGTCTCTTCGACCAAATCACCGCATGCGTAGTAGCTGGAGAAAGTTAACGGCTCCGCGCCATTACACAGTATATCATTCACGCACATCGCCACCAAATCGATGCCAACGGTGCCGTTACGTTCAGTTTGCTGTGCGATCTTTATTTTAGTGCCCACACCATCAGTGCCCAACACCAGAACCGGATCCTTGTACGTCTGCGGCACGCGCATCAATCGTCGGCCAAGTTTTGTGGTGATCGTTTCATTACGCTGTTGCGTCAACGCTGCATCGCATAGTTCCAAAGCCAAGTCACGCTCGTGCGGCTCGTCCAGCGTGCGTGTATTCCGCTCTGTAATGCCGCCAAAACGTTCGGCGATTTTCTCTAAGCCCTCCACAAAGTTTCGCACCTCGATTTGATGTTGTTGATGGCAGGTGTGCATTTTACGCTTCAGCACACCAAACACCTTAGCGCCCGCACCCAATACCTGCTTCCATACGGTGCACTTCTTTGGCACAACCAGCACGAGCCCAATACCACAGTTTAGATTATCCAAAAGTGTCTGCGGGCTTAAACGTAATCTACCCGCTAACCAGCCGTACATCGCGGGTATTTTTAGATCGCCAAAGTCCAAGGAAATTTCATGATCTGGCGGTATGATGCGCTGTACGTCCGGTAGTAAGCCGGTGGTTATGTGCGAAATGGCTTTGACCTCGCACTCACGTAAAAGCGCGAGCACTTCTTTAACGTAGACTCTTGAGGGTTCGCAAAGCTGTTGACCTGCGGCGAAAAGAGTAGTCGTAGTTAGGAAAAAAATGCCCAAGTACTCGTATGTGGGAGCTGGCGACTTGCAACTCGAAATGTTGGTATGAAAAGTAGTTTGTCTAGTAGTTACCTAACGTTTTTGAGCCATCGCCAAACTCGCACTTATCGAACAATTCAACGTCGGCCATTTCGAATTGTTTTAGCAACGAATGAAAGCCGGCACAGTGCAAGCCATTCGATGGCAGCGATATCAGCAGATCGCCTTCTTCGTACTGCTTGAATTTCGGCAGTTCCTTACCCTCCTCAAGTATGCCCACACAATAGCCGGCCATGTCATATTTGCCCAATTCATAGACCGAGGGCATTTCTGCCGTTTCACCGCCTAACGGTTAAGAAATGGAAATTGTGTGCACGTTAGTATAAAGCAAAGGCCGAGTGTGGAGCCATCTCAACTCACCCAACAGCGCGCAACCCGCTGCACGACAACCCTCCGAGATACCGGTCACTATTTGCGCGGCAATGGGTACTTGCAGTTTGCCACAGGCAATATAATCCAAGAACGCAACTGGCTCTGCGCCAGACTCTAGCACATCATTGGCGCACATGGCGAGCAGATCATAGCCAATGCCTTCGTACGTTTCATGCTCGAGCGCCAACTTAATCTTGGTACCCACGCCGTTTATGGCCTCACAGATGACGGGTTTCTTATAGTTCAGCTGAGAGGAAGAGTTGATTAACAATTATGTGTGTGTATTCTTATACTGAAGATTCGTCGCTCACCTCATTCAGGCGGAACAGCCCACCAAAACCGCCCAGACCACCTACAACGCCAGGTCGTTGCGTACCACGCGATAACGGTTTGATGCGCTGCACCAGATCATCGCCTGCGTCAATATCAACGCCACTATCCTTATAGGAGAGCGCCTTAAGTATTGTCGGCTCCAACTTCAGCCTGCCGATTGAGTGAAACACAATTAGTTCGATTTTTCGATAGATTTCGTACAAAAGATTTATTAATTGTGACATTTTCATGTGAGTGTATAAATGTATGTATGTATGTATGTCAAATAATTACATTTTGAAAGCTTTCTCTGCAATGTCCGTGCGAAATTGTGCGCCAGCGCCAGAGAACGTCACGCCTTGGCATATTTTCGTGGCATCCGCCGCAGCTTGGCGTAAGTCCTTACGCAGTGCCACCGCTATCAAGACACGTCCACCATTGGTCAGATACTCACCGTTCTTGCCCACCGCTACGCCACTATGAAAGATCAGCTCATTAGCCGTATTTGGCGGCAAACCTGGATTCGATTATCAAAGATCCAAAGGGAGAAAAGAGAGGAAAATTTCGTATAATTTAATACTTAAAATTCTACTATGTCCGTATGTACCCTCGATAATGCAACCCTTTGTCGAGGTCTCTGGATAGCCAGCACTGGCCATGACCACACCCACGGCACTTACATCCTCACGCCACTGCAGTGTTACTTCCTTCAGACGATTCTCGCAGCAAGCGCTCATCACCGCATACAAATCAGTCTCGAGTAAAGGTAAAATGACTTGCGTCTCGGGATCGCCAAAACGGCAATTGAACTCCAAAACCTTAGGACCGTCGGCGGTTAACATAAGACCCGCATAGAGTACACCGCAGTAGTGTATGCCCTCTTGACGTAGCGCGTCAACAGCTTTTTGCAGCACAGCACGATTAATACGCTCCAAGTCGGCAGGCGGTATTAAGGGGCAAGGGCAATAGGCACCCATGCCGCCGGTGTTTGGGCCTTCATCGCCCTCACGCAGCCGCTTGTGATCCTGTGCGGGCAGCATGGCCTGTGCGTGTTGTGTATCGACAAAGGCGAGTACGGAGACCTCCTCACCTACAAGAAGCTCTTCAATGACCACGGTTTCACCGGCACTGCCGTATTTACGTTGACCCAATATCTCATCAACCGCCTGACATGCCTCGGTGGGGTTTGCTGCAACTACGACACCTTTCCCAGCGGCGAGACCGGCAGCTTTAACAACGAGCGCCTTGTAGGGTGCGCTGAAATGGAAATAGACAATTTAAACTTTTAAAAGTTAAATACTAAATTATTCATCCAATTCAAGGATGAGTCTCATGCATCGGGATGGGGCATTCTATGCATCTAGAGAAGCCAATATTTTTACTTTTTTAAAGAGTGAAGGACCGTTTTCGAAATCACGAATATTCGAAGCAAAGCCCTATCAAATGAAGAACGAGGGAACCAACTCGAAGGCAATTGGAATTATTAGCAAACCCTATTTGTACGCCTGGGTTAGTTGGTTCTGCTCCGAACAGTTATCTGCGAGATTGGTTCCGTCGATAACAGCTTAGAAGATATTCGGGCACACAGTTCGGCTACTTGGATTAAAGAGGGTAGAAATATCTGAAGTAAAGTAATTTCTTCTTCTTCCAATGTGAGCCATCAAATGCATAGTGCATGGAAATCTTTCGCCTTTTTTCCTGAAAATTCTCCCATCAACTCACCTCTTTATAAACTCCTTAGCCTTATTCACATCGGTAAAGGACTCATAACGAGCAGTCGGTATGCTGTGACGCAACATAAAGTCCTTAGCCCACTTCTTATCAGACTCAATTTGAGCACCCTGTTTATTGGGGCCAAAGCAGCGTACACCAGCCTTATTGAGAGCATCACCAAGACCATTAGCCAAAGGGTCTTCTGGGCCAACAATGACCAAATCTATTGACTGCTTCTTACACCAGCTGGCGATGCCCTGGAAATTGGAAAAAGGCAAAAAAAAATTATTACAATGATAAAGTTTTATAAAAAATAACAGTAAGTTTCTAAAATATATATATGAATGTGTTACACTTCTATTCAATTGAGCATGAAGGTCAAGTGCGCGGGCAAAGGTTTCCTGATTTAATTCCCACCACAGAAGAGCAGTGGAAAATTTTCAAGTTAAAGGTCAATCAACTAAATCATTTGAAATTTAAGCTATGCACACAGACACATACGCAAACACACATACACACATACAGTGCCAAATAAATCATATTTAAAATGCTAAATTTAACTTAAATTAAATTATGTAAAAATAAATATTTAAAAATAATAATAATATAATAAATCAGAAGTAAAAATATACACAAATGAAGGGAAATTAAATTAAATTAAATAAAAAAATGAATTAATAAAATAAAAAAGTTAATTAAAATTAAAAAAGAAAAATTTAAATTAAATTTAATTAAATAATTTTAATAAATTAAAAAATAAAAAAATTAATAAAACAAATCAAATAAAGTAACAAATAGAATAAAATAATATTAAACATAATAAGAAAAATAAAATATTTTCAAATAATACAGAATAAAATAAATTTAGATTAAAATAAATAAAAAATCAAATAAAACAAAATAAAGTAAAATTTTATTGAATTAAATAAAATTTAAATAAATCAGGTGAAAAAGGTAAATAAAATAAATTCAATAAAACTGAATTTAACGAAATAAATTAAAGTAATATAAATATTGATGAGTGCATAAGTTCGTGCCCGATTCCGCTGGATGCCGTTCGAATCGTTTNATTTCTTCAAAAAATTTCAATTTTAGTTTGCACTTGAAATCGGGCACGAACTTATGCACTCATCCAATATATGGAAACTAATTTAATTAATATAAATAAAGTAAAAATATATTTATACAATTAAATTAAATCGAATGTAATGAAACGAAAAAATTTAAAATAAATTAAGCAATAATGATATAAAATTAATTAAAAAATGAAAATAAAGTAAAATTAAATAAAATAAAATGGAATGAAATAAAAGGAAATTCTGTTAAATTAACTAAAAATTAAATTAATCAATAAAATAACATAACAAAGGAACAAAATAAAATACAGTATAAATATAAATACAGTACAAATTAAAATAAATTAATTAATATAAAAAATAAATTAAATTAAATTAAAAAGAAAAAAACTAATAAAAAAAAAACTTAAAACAAATAAATAAAAGAAATTAAATAAAATAGAGTAAATCAAAATGAAACAAACTTAAATAAATAATAAAAAAATCAGCAAAAAATAAAATAAATTACAAGTAAGTAAATGAAGAATAAAGTAACACAAAATAATAATATAAATAAAAACAACCGAATTTAAAACAATTAAATAAAAATAAAAATATATAAATGTAATAAAATATAGCAAACTACAATAGAAGAAAAAAATAATATCAGCATGTTAAAATTAAATGAATAAATAAATAAAATATAAATTAAATAAAATTAAAATAAAGAAAATTAAATTTGATAAAATAAAAATTTAGCGTTAAAAATAATTCAAATCAAAGTAAAATATGTAAATAAACGTAAAATTTTAATGCAAGTAAAACAAAATAAAATAATTAAATAAAATAAAATTAAAATAAAATAAAATTAAAATAAAATAAAACGAACAAAAAACCGCTAAAATATAAAAAAGTGAACTAGAAGAAAATCCAAGCAAAATAAAACACAATAAAGTAAAATAAAACAAAACAAATTAAAATTAAATTATGCAGTGTAAATTTGTTAATTTTTGTAATAATAATAATGATAATTAAGATTCTATAAATATTTAATTTGGTAAATTATTGGTTTTAATGAAAGCTTTAGGTATCATATTATTCTAGAAAATGACGCGTAACTAAGGAATTTTAAGGTGTTAAAATAGTTGACCAGTTAACAAGCCATATTTGGTAAACAAATGTTATACCATATTGAGCATTTCCATTTAAATTTTGTTGACTGATTTATATCACGAAAGTCTAATTAGCCCACGCATGGAAGAATATGCATATGTACATATATGTAGATAGTGAACAGTATTAAATAAAAACTGTTATGTAAGACACGTATATATACGGGTATATGATATAAAAATTAAATACCTTTCTAAATGTCTTTCTATCAAAGAATTAAAAAAAAATAATAAATGAAATTAGAAATAGAAATAAAAAAAGAAATAAAAAAACAAAAAATAATAAGAAATAAAATATAATAATAATATAAAAAGTAATTATAAATATGAAAACAAAAATTAATTAATACAACATAAAAATATGAAATAATATATAATGGTAAATAAAATTAATAATAATAAATAAAAGACAAAAATGAGTAATAAAATATAATAACATTAAGAAATGTAATAATAATAATAAATTTTAAACAATAATAACAAATATAATAATAATATAAACAAAAATTAAAAACAAGAAACACATTTAAATATTATAATAATAAATATAAAAATATATAAAAATAAAAAGAGAAATAAAATACGTATAATAATAATAAATAAAAAAATTTAAAAATTAGTAAATAACAAATAAAAATAAAAAATAAATTTTAGTAGTAAATAAAAAAAATAATAATAAATAAAATATAATAATAATAAAAAACAAAAATTAAAAACAAGAAATAAACTAAAATATTATAATAATAATAAATATAAAAATATATAAAAATAAAAAGAGAAATAAAATACGTATAATAATAATAAATAAAAAAATTTGTAAATAACAAATAAAAATAAGAAACAAAATATGGTAGAAAATAAAAAATAATAATAAATAAAAAACAAAATAAGTAATGAAATATAATAATAGTAATAATTAAAAATAAAATAGAAATAAAGTATAATAATAATAATAAATATAAAAAAATAATAATAAATATGAAAGAAATTAATTAATAAACATAAAAATATGAATTAAAATATAATAATAATAATAATAAATAAAAAAATTGTAAATAACAAATAAAAATAATAAATATAATATAGTAGAAAATAAAAATAATAATAATAAATAAAGAACAAAAATGAGTATTAAGATAAAATAAGAGTAATAATTAAAAATAAAAAAGGAATAAAATATAATAATAATAATTATAATAATAATAATACACAAAAAATAAAATCGAGAATTAAATAATAATAATAATAATAATATATTAAAAAAATAATATACGTATAATAAATAACAAATAAAAATAAGAAACAAAATATGGTAGAAAATAAAAAATAATAATAAATAAAATACAAAATAAGTAATGAAATAATAGTAATAGTAATAATTAGAAATAAAAAAGAAATAAAGTATAATAATAATAAATATAATATAATAATAAACAAAAAATAAAAACCAAAAAAAAATTATAATAATAATAATAAATATAAACATATATAAAAATAAAAAAAGAAATAAAATACGTATAATAATAAATAAATAAAAAAATAAAATTAGTAAATAACAAATAAAAATCAAAAATAAAATATAGTAGAAAATAAAAATAATAGCAATAAATAAAAGATAAAAATATGAAATAAAATATAATAATAATAATAATAAATAAAGAATAAGAAATAAAATATAAATAATAAATATAGAAAATTATAATAAATTAAAAAAAATAGTAAGTAACAAAAAAAAAATAAGAAAAAAAAATATAATAGTATATAGAAATAATAATAACAAATAAATAACAAAATAAGTAATGAAATATAATAAAAATAATAAATATAAAAAAATAATAAATATGAAAGAAATTAATTAATTAAATATAAAAATATGAAATAAAATATAATATTAATAATAATAATAAATAAAAAATCAGAATAAGAAATAAGATATAATAATAATAAATATAAAAAATAATAATAAATATGAAAAAAGTTAATTAATAAAACATAAAAAGATGAAATAATATATAATAGTACATAAAAATAATAATAATAGATAAAAAACACAATAAGTAATAAAATATAATAATAATAATAAAATTAAAAAATAATAATAAATATAAAAATATATAAAAATAAAAAGAGAAATAAAATACGTATAATAATAAATAAATAAATAAAAAAAATTAATAAATAACAAATAAAAATCAAAAATAAAATATAGTAGAAAATATAAAAATAATAATAAATAAAAAACAAAAATAAGTAATGAAATATAATAATAGTAATAATTAAAAATCAAAAAGAAATAAAGCATAATAAAAGCAATAAATATGAAAGAAATAAATTAAAATATTATAAATAATAAATACAAAAATAAAAAATAATAAATAAAAAACAAAATAAGTAATGAAATAATAATAATAGTAATAATTAGAATTAAAAAAGAAATAAAGTACAATTATAATAAATATAATATAATAATAAACAAAAAATAAAAACAAGAAATAAATTATACTAATAATAATAAATGTAAAAATATATAAAAATAAAAAAGAAATAAAATACGTATTATAATAATAAATAAAAAATTAATAAATAACAAATGAAAATAAGAGATAAAATATAGTAGAAAATAAAAATGATAATAATAAATAAAAAACAAAAATAAGTATTAAAATATAAAAATAAAAAAATAAAGTATAATAAATATAAAATATATAAAAACTAAAAATAAAATATAAATGAACAAAACCACTCGCTGAAGGGAGTTTTCGGCCGAGCTCCTTCTCCACTTTATGGTTTTGCGTCTTGATGTTTTGCAACAAATGAAGGGACCTATAATACATTGAATGAAATTTTTGAATTTTTTTCAATATATATACAAAATACCTCAGCCTTTTTCCTCGATAGTCTAATCTAAATAACTTTTAACCAAAAATATTTGAAAAAGATTTTTGAGTTATTTTTTTCCAAACAAACAACAAATTACTGGTTTATAGAGCAAAAAGTGTAGGAATTAAAGAAATAGATATTTAATAAATTTTATAAAAAAAAAGAAAATGAGAAATAAATAGAAAGAGATTGTTGAGTTGACAAAAAAATCAGTTTTTGAAAATTCTGGCTACCGCTAACCCTTTCTGTGTTTTATCAAAACGAAAATGAAACCTTAAAAATATATATATTCTACAGTCGCATTTTCGCAAAAAGAAAAGAAGAAAATAACTCAAAAAAAACATATAATTTTTAGACAAAAGTAAAACATCAACCTTGACTGACATTGACTCAATTTACAAGTATAGAGCGAAAAACCGAGAAATACACACCAAAAACCGCTGTAGGGGCAATAAACAACAAAATAGGAAGAACGCACAAAACAAACAAACAAAAAAAATGCACATAAATAAAAAACAAAAACTCACACAAAACAGATCAACACTAAAACCGACAGCAAAATGACAACTTCCGAAATAGGCTAAATTTATTTATGCAAATGGTCAAAACTAGTGCAGAACTACATAAATACCTACTCATCGGATATAAATCAACATTAGATATGGAATGAAACAGGGCAGAAATAAGAGTAAAAAATAAAAAATTGTGCATTGTTTTGCCGCGTACGTTTCACACGCAAATATATGTATGCACACTATGCCCAGCAAACCATGCTAGAAGCACGCCGTAGGAGAGACTTCGAAAAGCGTCCGATTGGAAGAGCTTTTTCTGAGCTTTTAAATACAGTGAATGAGTTCAAAAGCCACGCCCAAAACTACTCCTTTCTGACAGAATTTAAGAAGCTCTTCCTTGTGAATTAGCTTCAAAGAGAGAACTCTTTTTTCTCAGTGTTCTGTCCGCATAAGACGAGTGGTTTGCAGTACTTTCAACTGTTTTATGTAGAGGGTATCGATTTTGATTACTAGCCAAACCAATATCTAGGATGATAGTAAATAAATTTTTTTAATTTCAGTCGCCACTCCACGCCAAACCCATGGAGGACTAGTAAGGTAGTCTACATTAAAAAGAGTGCCGTACCAAACCTCTGGAACAGTTGCAAGGTACACGTCTACTTGGTATAGCAGGCACAGCGTTGGAAGCACTACCTCAATAAAAGCTCTGGAAGTCAACCGTGACATAAGAACAAAAAACACACAGGCGATGTAAGACAAAGCGCTGACAATTACCCACCTAGCTGTCTGAGTTCCTTAACTGATATTACAGCATTTAGAAAATTATAGCAGAACTCGGACTAATCGTCAAATGCGCGCGAGAAATGGAAACCTACTGACGTGTGTATGCCAGCTACGCACACCCCAGTAGGGAGGAAGGGGTGGTAGACAAGATGTATCTGAAAGCAGCAACTGAAAGCCGGACAGGCACAGCTGCAGGGTTCTACTGTAAGCACTCTAATAATCAAAGTAACTTCAAACTCAAAACTCAAACTCAAACTCAACCAAAACAATTTTGAAAAGTGTGAGCACATCTAAAGAGTGAATTAACAGATTATCCCTGGAAAACATAGTATAAATCACTTGGATCTCAGGTAGAGCAGGTATAGAAGACAACAAAAGGCTAGATGAGCCAGCTTCTTTTGGCGCGGCCGGCAAGGCTGTCACCTTCTATTAGCTGAGACCTTTCAGCGACCACAAAGATAAACATAAGATACTAAAACGCTTCCAATGTAGCACCTACCACTGGGAGAGGGTCGACAGACCAAGCTGTTACTTGCATTAAGCAAACGAGAACTTATTTTTGTACTCCCAATGTGCGTTAAAGTGCTGAGAGAGGATTCCGAGGAGAGTCCGAGAGAGTCTTCTTTGGCGCTTGTGGTTTGCTGGGTTGACACAACGCCAGCTAAGCGGCCAAGATTAAATCTTGTGAATTACTTGTGAACATTCAAACATAGATGAAGTTGTTAGATGCTAATATTTCATGTCGACGAGATCATTTCTTTTTTGTTTTTTTTGTTTTTTTTTTTTTGTGAAATCTCACAGTAACTACGGCATTGTGTGCAAATTTCATTTCGATTTCTGCTCTGCTCATGGGTGAGAGAGAAATAAAAAATATAACAGAATGCCTCTATCAGCCCCTGGTGGTCACAAGCTGCTTGCATACATACAAACGAGGTGCAAACACATTTGTCCTCCCCCAACTGCGCCGCCGTACCCACGCAAATAGTTTTTATTATTAGCTTGGACCAGTCGCGTCTGCCCGCCGCAGCAAGAATCTTTTAATTTATTGAAGCCATTAGTGCGGCGACGGAAAAGACACTCCGACTTGCTTGTCCGCTGCTCTAAAATGGTAATGCAGCTTATGGACCCATCATGGTCAGTATAAAAAGCAGACGAAGACAGGTTAAGAGCGACAGTTACACTTTGGACTTGGCAGTTAACGGTTTGATTTTGCGGATTAACGGATTAACTGATTATAAGCGGAGCGGAAATGAAATTAATTGTAAGGCGAGCGTAGTTGGATTAAAAAAATATGTTTTTCAAAATTAAAATTATTTATTAAATAGAAAAAAAAAATGAACAGCAAGTGTTGTGCATAGAAAATGTGTTTTAAATTGAAAAAAAAAAAATTCTTTCCCCCCCCACTAATGCATTATTCAATTCTATTCCCACACCATAGTGCTTCTTAGTTATCGCCACTTTGGCTGTGAACGCGCAGGCGCTCAACGACAAATACTTTGGCGGCAAATATAATGCTCCGAGCAAAATAACAAAAAAAGCAACGTCAACACGTCAACAGCCAACGAAAGCATACGCGCTCAAAGCGAGCGCCACACAGCGCCGCACAAGCGTCTACAAGCAACCGCACAGCACTAACAGCGGCGCTGCTGCAGTTGTTGGCGTAAAAGTGCCAATCCTGCGTAATGAGCAAGAAATGCGCCACGACGGCACTTACCACTATCAATACGAGACGGGCAATGGCATTGTGGGCATGGAGCAGGGTACTGCTGGCGTAGCTGTAAAAGGCGCCTCCAGTTATGTCTCACCCGAAGGCGTTGAAATCAAGTTGACCTACACAGCTGACGAGACCGGCTATCATCCGGTGGGCGATCACATACCAAAGACGCCCGATTACGTGCTGCGCGCGTTGGAGTACATACGCACGCATCCCTTTAAGGTGGTAAAAGCTGCTGAGCGACGACCGCGTTTGTTGACCGAGATTGCGCCGCCGCTGTATACACCGATTAACAAGCGAAATTTGAACTACAAGACAAGCAGCGGTTTTGGGAAGAACCCCGTTGGCGTGACGTCGAAACGGCAGAATCAACGTAACAGTAGACGTAATGAGTTGAGGCGTCGCGTTTGAAGCGTGTCTATTCTGCGTGAGCTTAAACGCTGGAGAAGACGCACAGAACCTCATGGAGAAGACGCAAATGTATTAGAATTTATTTATAATGAATTTCATGCACATTTTTTTGCACGAGTTGATATATCGACGCACCGATTCATAGTTGATTATACAAAAAAAAATACTGTTATTAACGCGAACGCACATATTAAAGCAAAAATAAAGAAATTGAAGCTTAAATAAAGTCTCTCAATCGAAAGAAACTCTAGCAATGCGTCGGTAGATGTAAAAAAATATCGTCTTCCCTTTTGAGCTCTTTGAATGGTGTCTTTATAAACATTATTCTGCTTGAGGTTAAGTTTTTTGAAGAGACTGTCCGCTTTTAGTGAGAAAATTCCTGGAGATCATTATGTCTGACCACGGCAAGCTAATGAAGTGCAACAGTCAGCCAGTAGGCCTATTGTAGGCCTTTGTCCTAGATCCAAAACTGAGAAGGTGTAGCCGAGGTCTTCCGAGCGAAGCGTCTCGCCTAGAATTTACCATCTTATCCCGACGGGCGTAGGTTAAGGAAAATTTCATGAGCTTTCCTAGGTGTTAAAAGCGGCGCTCCCTTAATGAAAGAGGCTGAATTTTATTAAGCCCGCTCCCAAAAGTAAACTTTGTCTAGTATCAACCACTAGACTGTGGTTCTACAGAACAATATGGGTCTTATATCTACGTCTACTATCTAAAATTACACCTAAGCATTTGACCTCGGTAGAAAGAGTGATTTCGATGGACGTTTCAAAAGCTTGTTTGCTTGTACCCACTGATGAACAGAATCAATTCGCGCTCTGTAAGATTTCACTTCAGGTCGCAATAACCGCAGCAGTTGTTTACTTGTAAAGCGTATTTCGCAGCAGATCGCTTAGAACTTGGATGTGTTTCTCAGTCGCTTCGAAGGCGATGTCATCAGTATATGACATTTCAACCTTGTGGGGTGCGGCTTTTGGTATAAGATATTATTAAAAACCCACTCAAAATCGAATAAATCTTTGAGGAGGAGACTTTTCGACGGTATCGACAGATATGCCCTTTGAGTTGGCATGCTGATCGGACGTCTACAGCTTTGGAATACTTACTTCGTTATAATTGAACGCTTTAGGCAAAGATTTATCGTGATTTCTTCTAAAATCTACAGTGGAGCCAATCAAGAATCCGAAGGGCAGTTCTTTACTTACTCTTTCTGCTACTTAGGACGATCAAAATCTTCAATTCTAGTCTTGGGTTGTCGAACTACATTTTAATTCCAAACGCCAGACCAGAGAAGGAGAGAAACTCAGAACTGTTTTCTCCGAACAACTTTTTCATTAGCATCTCTTTTTGTGTGGAGAAAGAAGGCAACCAACCAGTACCAGCTTACTGATGGATCGAGCTTGGGAACTCCTCACTGAAACAGAGTTTAGTTCATTCCAGAATCCTTTAAAGTGTGACACCTTTATCTGTCTTTTCAAATTTAAAACTACAACTTTGTGTTGATAAGAGAGTCATGTTTTGCCTTATTTACTTAGGCAAGTGAGAAAAGTTTCCCCTGAGAATTTATTAGATTATTTATTTCAGTGTTATCGCAAGAGCTTTTGACTAAGCAACTACAAATTAAAGTCATTTAAGTATGTACTAATGGATTGTATATGTAGATTTGTAGGTGCATGTCTGCAAAACTTAATAATTCCGGGCAGTCACATTAACTTTTTGAGCGTTGTCCTATTCCTTTTCCATTATCGATAATTCAGAAGACTGATAATTGCTTACAATAACTAGCTAAAGCTTTCTTTGGTACCAAACCTGTATTGGTTGCATTATTTGGAGGAAAGGCTGTGGAGCTTTTGTTCAGTCACATCCTACTGATTACTTGTCTTTATACTTCTTCCATCAGCAGATGCAAAGTACTTATGAATCTACCTAATCTGAGGTGGCCACTTTGTTCTAGACCCAAAACTGAGGAGGTGGAGCCGAGGTCTTCTATTACCGACGGAGTAAAGACAGACCCAACACAATGAATGCCGATCCGCTCAGAACGACAAGCTGAGTTGACTTAATCATTTCCACTTGTTTGTATCTCCGTACGACTGAGTGCAAATTAGTTGATGATTTTATGAGATGTCTCAGCCAAATTTGGCTTACAGGTATATTTTTATAGCATTCAATTCCATATGACATAGCCTCCTAACTATAGATTCGTTCAGATACGAGGTTTTGCCAACAGTGAAACTTTCCATAAATGGGCACCCACGGGACCGGTGGGACCGGTTAATAGAGATGCTAGTTTGTCAGAGGTGAATTTGTATGGGAAAACATTGCAGGGACTTTAAAAAGTGCCAGCTTATTAGGGATGCCCGTTAAGGGAAGTTGCACTGGATATTATTTTTTACAGACGAGTATGACATGGAAAGGAAAGCAAATCGTAAATAGCACGACTTTTGATCTCTCGAAGAAAAGCGTCCTTATTATGATCCTTTGATCCTTAGTACTAGTCTTATTTTGTTTAAAATTTGTTCATAGATTACTGAGCCAATTACGGCCATTATCCATACAATTATACACCCTACAGTGATCGATTCGTTTTTTTTTAATTCTTTTTATTATTATTTATTATTTTATATTTATTTTATTATATATTTTGAAGTATTTTTTTAATTTTTTTTATTACTATTATTGGGTTGCCCATTAACCACCATTTAAGGAGTTTGTCAAAGATCGAAATAAATAGTACTCTGATGGTGCAAGGTCAGGGCTATATGGTGGATGCATCAAAAGTTCCCAGCCAAGCTCACTCAGTTTTTGGCGAGTGACCAAAGATGTGTGCGGTCTAGCGTTGTCCTGGTGGAATATGACACCTTTACGATTGACCAATTCTGGTCGCTTCTCCTTGATGGCTGTATTCAATTTGTCCAATTGTTGACAGTAAACATCCGAATTAATCGTTTGGTTCCTTGGAAGCAGCTCAAAATATACGACACCCTTCCAATCCCACCAAACAGACAGCATAACCTTCTTTTGGTGGATATCAGCCTTTGAAGTGGTTTGAGCTGGTTCACCATGCTTGGACCATGATCGTTTTCGACTAACGTTGTTGTAAACAATCCATTTTTCATCTCCAGTTATGATTCGTTTTAAAAACGGATCGAATTCATTGCGTTTAAGGTGCATATCACAAGCGTTGATTCGGTGTGTTAAATGAATTTCTTTCAATACATGTGGTACCCAAATATCAAGCTTTTTCACCAGTCCAAGACTTTTTATGTGATAATGAACGGTTGATTTTGGTATATTTAACTTCTCTCCTATCTCACGCTCAGTTACATGACGATCCAATTCGATTAATGCTTTGATTTGGTCATCATCAACTTCATTTGGCCGACCTGAACGTGGCTCATCTTTAAGTGAAAAATCTCCAGAACGGAATTTGCGAAACCAATTTTGACACTGTCTTCCTTTTAAGGCTTCATCACCATACACATCTCGTAACTTTTTAGCAACCTGCTCCGCGTTTTTTCCTTTACGGAAATAATAAAGTAAAATATGACGAAAATGCTCCTTTGTGGGCTCCATATTAAAATTGACGCCAAACAAACAAATGTAAACAAAATATCGCACACTTTTTTTCTAAAGCAAGCTAAAAGTAACAGCTGATAACTGACAGAAGAAAGAATGCAATTACAGAGTCACAAGCCGTTGAAAAAATTTGTCAACGCCGACTATATGAAAAATCCGCAATTACTTTTTAGGCAACCCAATATTATCATTATTAATTTTTTTTTAATTACGCCTTGTTCTAAATTTTTTCAAATTATTTCATTATTATTATTTTTTTTATTACTGTCTTATTCTATTTCTTTAATATATTATTTTTAAGTATATTCCTTCGTTAGTTTTTGTTATTTCATTATTATTTTTAAATATTAAATGTTTTAAATATTATTATTTTTTTAATTTTATTATTATTGTATTGAATATACAGTCTTTTCCTATTTTTATCAATATTATTATTTCTTTAATACTGTCTTTTTTATTTAATTTATTAATTTTTTATTATTTTAAAATTAGTATTTTTTTTGAAAACACGGTCTTTGTTTTATTGTTATTATTGCTTTTTTATTATTTTAAACAGTTTTCTTAATTATTTTAATTTATTATTTTTATTAATTCTTTTTTGTTTTTTGACATTTTTATTTGAAATTTTAATATATTTTTTTTTCTGAAAACACTGTATTTTTCCAATTTTTATTATTATTTTTTTTTTGTTATTTATTTTAATTTTTTTTTCGTTATTAATTTTTTTTTTATTGTTATTGTTGCTTTTTTATTATTTTAAACAGTTTTCTTAATTTTTTTTTTTATTTATTATTTTTATTAATTCTTTTTTGTTTTTTTTTTTGACATTTTTATTTGAAATTTTAATATATTGTTTTTCTGAAAACACAGTATTTTTCCAATTTTTATTATTATTTTATTTTTATTATTATTTTTTTTTGTTATTTATTTTAATTTTTTTTCTTTATTTATTTTTTTTATTTATTGAAATACAATTTAGCATTTGATGGCGCTTATTAGCGAAATGATACCATTTGAAGCCGGTAAAAACCAACTTGCGCGACTACACATTTGTTTGTATGTGTATGCACACATTTATATATATATGTACGATTACATATGTGTATATAAACACATAGAAATAGGCGCAAAAGCACAGACCCAGTCTGCGTGTGTTAATATTTAATTAGCTTTAATTAGACAATGTAATATATATATATATATATATATATATATATATATATATATATATATATATATAACATATCTAAATATATATGTATGTATATATTTATGTGTACATTCACTACATTCTATATAATATATCATACCTGAAAATCTTTCGCATTTACGCCACTCAGATTAGAGCACTTGGGCACTTGAGCAATGCCATGACTGCCGGGCAACGCATAGATTTTGACCACTTGCTCGCTCTGCGACAATTTCCAGCAAATCGCGTGCTCGCGACCGCCACTGCCAACCACCAAGAGTTGCTTGCCGCCAACGAGTGTTTGTTTCGAGGACATTTTTTCAGAAATTTAGGTGACTTTTTCAACAACTTTTTTTTTTAATAAAAATTCAATTTTTTATTTGTCCAATTTGTTGGTGAAGCAATAAAATTTGACACTTCCGGTAAATGTGCGTATTCCAATTGAAATTGATTTTCACAAAATGTCAAGCGCGAGATTGTCGTTAATGTGCGCGATTCGCGCAACGTTTTCTTTTCTAATCTTTTTCCTTCCTTTTCTTTATTATTCAAATAAATCAATAACGTCACTTTGTATTACTTGTTCAACTAAGTAAGCAACAAAAACAACAAAGCATTTGTTTGCCAGCGCGTGTGTGTGTGTTTGTGCGTGCGCGGTGTTTAGCAAAATGTGATCGTGTCTCGTTCGCTCGCTCGCTCGCTGAGAATCCACGTGTTTCTACAGCACAAATGAATTCATGTGTGCTTAGCACGTTTTTTCGGACTTTTTTTGAATTTTTTTATCTCACTTGCAGTCCGAAGCAGAAATGCCTACAAAGATTTATTGATTTAAACGGATTGAAGCGGTAAATGCGGTGTAGACTGCAGCAGGCCACAAGTATTTGGCAGTGTGGAAAGCAAAAAATAAGAAACGGTTTATTGAAAACAAGTTAGAGCGCCACCGAGAACCAGAACCGAAGCCAACGGTTGGCAAATGAACACTGAAGCTTTTGCGTTTCGCTGGCGCAAAGCCACCATAAACATACATATATGTAGGTACCCACACGTTTAAAAAGGGATGATGGAGAAATGATAATGGATGACGGAGTGTATTATGTATTGTACATGTGTTGATCGGTCTATTAGCCGCACGACTGACAGAGTGACGGACGTACAGTGTGCGCCAGTTAAAAACTTGTTGCCCAGGTTATATCAAGCTTGTGCGCGTAACTTTCTTATAAGAGCGTAAAATAATAAATTTAGATAAAAGACTGTAACAAGACTCATTCGCTGGAGCTCAATGTGTGGACCACGAGCAGATTGACATCTAAATCTTTGAACACAAAAAGGAGTCCATCTACTTAAAATTTTCGCTGAAGCGGTTTTCGAGCGAACTTCTCTTCGCATGAGTGGTGGGCGTCCAGTTAGTTTTCGGGATAAATGCGAGACCTACAGCCGCCTCCAAAAGGCCGGTGGGTTTTTGTGATCAACTTTTTAGATCATGTAAGAAATAAGAACACTAAGAAGAGTTTGTTGAAAAACACATTCTAACAAACTTCCAGCTTTTGCATAACCAGAGTTCGTCTGATAACGCGCCCATCGTAGCATTCACCCCTTCCTACACGTCCAGAACAGTCTAGACATGAAGCCATAAAGCTCTAGCTTCCCTTTCATTTGACCGAAAAAGACAAAGTTATGCAGCGAAAATCGGTGAGATTGGTTTCCGAAGATTATTCAAGAAAAGCAGAATGACATTTGCACGGGACAAAAAAAAACAGAAGCGAATTTCCCGACTGACAATTGATATGCCAACGTGACGTGAATCTAATAAATATTTTTCGACTTATACGACAATTAACCAAGTATTCCCGAGCTCTTCAGAACTCTAAGGCCGATCAACTTTACATAATCAAAAAAAATATTTCCTTATCGAAGGATTTTCTCATTAACTTCCAGGGAAAGTCAGAGTTCAAGCCCTGGTGCGTCCAACATTCGAATATTGTAGGAAATTATTTTTTCCAATTGCCGTCGACCCTGCGCAGAGAATGTTAAGCTCACCGAGTGGTTTCCTGACATGAAAATCAAAGCTACTCAGAAAAATGCATCGCCCATTTGGAGGCGGTTTATAAAAAAGTGTAGACGCTTCAGCGGTTACAAAACGCCAATTATATGTATACTTCTCGAGCTTGCCTCAAATGTATCTATAAAGTTTTGAAATTAAGTTTTAAAAATGATTTTTGGCAAGAGAACCGCTCGGTCATATCAGCAATAACGCACCGAATACTCTCTTTAAAAATTTGAATCGTTTTTAACTTATTTGCGTAGGCAAGCGACATCACATAACCTCACAAAAATAGTCCAGCGGTGTTAAATCGTACTTTGGCGACACGTAGTAGGTCCACGACTCGAGATAAAAAGATCACCAAAAGTTTTCTTCAATAAATTGATTGTTTCATTGGTCGACCACATCCACATCCTCCCAGTAAGGCAAGATAATATCGTTAATCATTGCTCTACAGCGTTCCCATTCGTTCATTTGAAGATATTCGGAGCACATTAACAGTAACTTTTTGAGCAAGTAACGGCGTCTCAACGACCAAAAGTGAGCTTCAACGCGAAATAAATTTTTTTTTTGAAAATCAGTTTCGGTGGCCAACTCGTTTTGGCTTCCTGCACCGAACATGCGATGCGCTCAATGGTAGTTCGGCTTCAATTCTTGCACGAGTCAAACTAAAATTCCTTCGCAAAATCTTTCATAAAGTGAAAGAGGACAGCTCCAATTTTGGTGCTTTATGGTTGGTGGGCATCTTTTTCCCAGCAGGAATACCGCCTTCGATGCGCACTGTACGACACCGCACTGAGGATGCGCATTATCCACTAGAGTAAACATGGTCCACGGTTGCTGGAGTAATCGACTCTGCTAGGTGATTATTCGAAAAGTTGTTCCGATGTGAGTCTGCCATACCCAAAGTCTTGCAAACCAAACTGATTGTAAATCAAGTAACAGATGAAATTCGGTAAAAAGTATTTCCACCCTCGAAACCACAGAACTGAAAACAGCTTTTTCTTCAACTCTAAATGGACAATTGTCCCGTGCGACATGACGGAAATGCGACCTGCGCCGGCGAATAAAACTGAAAGTTTATTTCAGAAAATGTCTCGGCTATTTAATTTTAGCTTCCTCCCGCACTTTACTCGGCCTTATCTTCAGGCTTTTAAATTTTTTTTTTTTGTCTCTGCATATATTTTTCTGAACTCGTATGTATGTATGTATGTATGTTTGTTCATAGCCGTTTCATTTCATATGCCGGCTTGTTAAGCGGCTCCCCACCAAAGCATTACTCGCCGATGAAACACGATCGGTCCTACATACATACGCACATACATATGTACACATGTATATCTATGAGTACAGTTTGTATTCAAATATGATGGACAAAAATATAACAAACTCATAAACTGATAACGACAACGCTGACGATAACCAACGAGCGAAAAGTGCAAAAAGTGCAAAAAGTTCAAAAAGTTATTTACAAGCATTTTCTTATCGTTGAATCTGATTCTCTGGCTTTTTTTTCAGACTATATTGTATTTACATAAATATTCTGAGTCTGCCATGGTAGGCGTGTATCGCCGAATATACACAAATCGCGACGCATAAGCGAGATAAACACGTTCTCCACTGAGCAAAACTAGAGCTTCGCGCCGATCATTGCCAGCGTACGCAGACGGTCATATTTGCATGGGCAACTAGTTCAAGTGCGCCCACACGTCTATCAGACTAACAGAGAAGCAAAATTTTCCAATGCTTCATAGAGACGGGCGAGCGCTTGTGTTGGCGTGTGGCCGCTGTGGTGGTTGGTTAGTCAAGGGTTCGCATCCTCAATTGAGGGAACTTAAAGAAATTTGTAGTTCTTCAACGGCACAAAGCTTGCCAAAAAGCGCTCGCCATGCATGTGCTGGCAATTCATATCCCACAACTGCTCGGTACGTCCGCGAGTCGTAGGGGGGCGCCCTAAAAGGGAAATAAATGCGGCCAAACAACTGTCGGTGTACACATCTCGCACGAACTCAGACATTAATATGTATGAGCGCAACTTTTTGCGTAATCTATATTTTGCATAGGTTTTTATTACGATTTCAATTCACAATTTGTTGCTAAGAATAATTTAAGTATATTTATTTTTACAAATATACGCACATACATACATACATATAAGCATAGTTTGTAGATAAGCAGTTTGAAATATTTGTATTCTTATCATTATTTTCCAATTAATGAGCTTAGTCAAAACTTCAAAAGTCCAAAGCCTTTCATATTCGTTAGCTTCTAAGGTTGCGTCAAAGCGATCGAGTTGCTTTTTGCTGCTTCCATTTTACGCCAATTCTTTTTTCCATTCCGAAGTAACAAAGTTAACCGACTATTGGCCTCAAAGTGTCTCAGCTACACACATAAGACGTGGTCTGTTTAAAATGCCAGGGTCGTATATTGTCCGTGTAGCTTAAGGCCTAGTAGATCCACTACCGATCAGATACTCACCATGCCATAAATCTGGGGAAAATACTCATGAGATAAGTATCGAAAGACAACATCTTGCTGACGGCTTTGACAGCAAATTTTAATTTGGTAACTCCACAGAACTTATACGACAGCGTAAACTGACGACGAATAATACGAAGAAGTTCTCACAGATGTGGCACAGCTCGCTCTGTACCGAGCATAATTAAATGAGGTTTAAACGCTCAAGAAAATAACAAGAGCGGCAGAACTGGATAGGTCAGTTGCAACTCTCTCAGCTAGATAAGAAACGTATGAGTCTGGTGGAGGACGGATACAAGAACAAGACAAAATATTTCCTGTCAACAAACAGTCTTGGCTTCTAAGTGTACTGACCTCCACGTCACTGTTGGTAGTCATAACTCTGGTTGGTTTGTGCCTTGGTTGAAGTGATTGCCGGGTAACAGCTCACTTAGACTCAGCAACAAATTGGTACATTGCGGTACCGCTTACTTCTGGCGAAGTCTTTAGATGGAACACCTCTGTACTTCTGCAATTTTGAAGTGGCTGCGCATAAACTGGAAGTTATTGAAATTATCTGAATCTGCTTCGGCACCACCTAAAGATCAGTCACCCTTCAAGACCTACACAGAATCACACTTACCAGCGAATGATTGGAAAAGAAGTTTCTTCACGGCGCAAATCAAACTTTACTGAAGCATGGACGTTGCTATATTCCATAGATCGATCAAATGGAATTTTCGAAAGAAAGTTTATGCGGTAAACTGATGATCATCTGGTATCTTACCGGCGCTGATAGTATATAGTCCACTACATTAAGAGAGAGCGGCTAAGTGAAGATTACTGGATGGACTAAAACCTACCATCTGTAAATGTGGAATATCCATGAAAACAGAGCGAGCTGATCCTCCAATTTATGGTTTGACGGCTGAAGGATTTTCGTCAGGAGACTTTTGATTTTATATCCGGCATATACTCGGAGGGGTTGCCTTTCCTTCTACACTTTTGTATATTAGGCGGCCAGTAACTGAGCCTCCGCGTCGTAGCTACCACGCCCGAACTACTTAAGAGAAATATTTCATTAAAGAGATAGGTTACTTAAGATGAGATCTCCTCCATTCTTTAGNGCAACATCATATTCACTAACAGCTGAAAATAGAAAACAGTCATCCCTAAACAAGAGATCATCCCTGGACATAAAGTTAATAGTGTCACTGTGTGGTAAAATACTCCAAATTGTGGTGTGACGGCTGAAGGATTTTCGTCAGGAGACTTTTGATTTTATATCCGGCATACACTCGGAGGGGTTGGCTTTCCTTCTACACTATCTGTAAATGTGGAATATCCATGAAAACAGAGCGAGCTGATCCTCCAATTTATGGTTTGACGGCTGAAGGATTTTCGTCAGGAGACTTTTGATTTTATATCCGGCATACACTCGGAGGGGTTGGCTTTCCTTCTACACTTTTGTATATTAGGCGGCCAGTAACTGAGCCTCCGCGTCGTAGCTACCACGCCCGAACTACTTAAGAGAAATATTTCATTAAAGAGATAGGTTACTTAAGAGGAGATCTCCTCCATTCCTTAGTAGTAATAACACAAGCCGAGATCAGTTTCGCCTAAATAATACCGGATCGTAGCTCCAACAAACAAATGTATGCGAGTTACGTCCGTATAGAGTATGTTCAATACCTACATACGAAGTCATGAGATGAATGAGGATTTGAGATAGTTGTGTGGTTCAGCCAGTTAAAATGGAGGACAAGGAAGGTTACATGAAGGTATGTGCAAGAAAAATGCTTCCGTGACAAATCCAAATCTAATGAAGAGCTCAGTTTCATCTCATCTTAGCCATAGGTGGATACGGCTATGTAAGGCTAAGTCCAAAGAGGGTTACTTAGTAAGCACATTCTCATATGGTGAGACCCGTCTTACCGAGGTGGAATGATAATGGAGTCTTCTGTGGCATATGCAGCGGAGTTATTTCATTGGAGCAGAGTCGAACTCTACGAATACCCTGTCAAGAAGAGTTTGGTGCAACTTTTGCGGGTACGTAGAACTGAGCGCATTTGTAGTCCAGAAAAGATCAAAAATCCAGTCAGCTCGTTCCCTGGTCCTGCCATGAAATGACCTTGACGACATCGACTATGTAGCGTTGTAACATAAACTTCGTATTAAACCTATATACATACATACGTCTTTTGCGTAAAATTTTCCTCTCGAGCCCCCAACAACAGTGTAGATATTTTCGTTGGAGCAACTGATAACCTCCTCACCTTGCCTTATTTATTATATTACATACTAATGGGGGGTAGCAATGAGCCACGCAACCGACGATTCTATTGACAATAATAATAAGCTTTTACAATGGTATGTATGTATGTATGTTTGTTCATAGCCGTTTCATTTCNTTTGTAATGATTTTGATAAGTATGAAATTATATTAAATGTATGTACGTATCTGTGGCATTGCACCGATTTTCTGTGGCGCTTGACGCAAACAACAACAGGTTGTTTTTGTTGACGATTGCATGCTAGCCGAATCAAATGAGCTACACATACACACACACACTCACACACACACTTAAATACATATTTACACTGTATTGGCATTTATGTGTAATTCGACATATGTATGTACGTATGTACGTGACTGAAAATATTTAATTAAATTATTTTTTTATAAATTTACTGCATTCAAAATCATTGTTTATATAAAATGTTTATTTTTTCAATATATATACATATATTTTTTTTTTGTTTTTATACAATTTATATTAACATGTGTTCTAAGTCGTTAACAGTTATTGTTGAAAGTTATTATAAACAAAATATGAAACTATAAAAACTTGCCATAATACATATATGCGTGTATGTATGTATGTATGTCTATATCCTTATTTATACATATGTATATGTACATATATCTATCTCGATTTATTTATATACACTCGCGTGAAGTTTGTCTGATTTTGTTTACAAACATTGCCGTTTTTATTAGCTAAATATGTAAAATCGCATACATACATATCTACATATCTACACACATACAAATATGTGTCAGCGCCAACTTCTGTGGTTAATTTCCTATATTGATAAATATTTGTTAACGTGAAAAATTCGCACAATTTTTTAAGCAAACATTAATAATTTCGGTTCAAAAGTAGGCACGTGAACGAATTCAAATTTAATTTCAATTTTAAACATTAATTTTTAGTATTAAAAAAATTTTGTTTGCTTTTTTAATTTAACTGCATTTTATTTCTTTGCATTTTATTTTATTTATTAATTTCATTGTATTTATTTTTTTATATTTTCCGCTTATGTACATACATACATATGCATACTTTGTTTTATTTCTGATTTTATTTTATTTCTATTTGAATTTGCTTTCTGTTGGTTTTTACAGTATTTATTTCATTGATTTTTCCTTATTCCATTTTTTTTTACTTTTTTATTTTTTTTATTGTTTTGTTATTTATTATTTATTTATTTCTTATTTTATTTATTTCTTTATTTATTTATTATTTTGTTTACTNAATCTTTTCTTTTCCGGCTGTTCTTGGTGTTGCATACAGTTTGGGAAACCTGTCTAGCGATTGTATCGTCGCTCTTCCTATTACGTTCACTGACACTAGCAATGCTGTTGCTGCTTCCACAACTTCCAGTTCCTCGTTGCCTTTTCACAGTTTCTTTCGCCTCAGCCAGCGTTGCAAATTTTCCACCACCACACAATGCGTTTTCGCGATTTCACAATCTGCTTCTCTAACTGGTAGCAAATTTGAAAATTTCTATTTAAACTCTTTCACTAAGAATTTCACACGCTTTTTTCAAAGAATTTACATGAAATGTGCGAAATTTGGGTGGAATATTAAATTGCTATGCTTCTCTGCCACCGTTGCTGCTGCAACTTCTCAACTTCTCAACTTCCACGAAGCACGACCACGACGATAAAGAAAGGAATGATGAGCAATCATAAAAGAAAAAGAGACTGAAAAGAAAGAAAATTATGGAATGTGGATTGCATTTAGGTGTATTCACTTACTTCAGTATTACTGCTCTACCTCAAGTACCACCATGACCCACCTCGTGAATTATGACGGGAATGAAGATTCGTCAGTGTCCGGTAATAGCACTGAATGGTTGACAGTGTCAAAGGCTTTTTACAGATCCAGTGCTACGAGAACAGTTCCCCGCAGGGAGGATTATCTGGGCGCGTGGCGAATTATTCTGTTCTCGCTGGGCCCTGATGTTTTAGCATCAGCGTGCGTATTCCGCCGGAGCAGATGGATTAGGTAGCAACTAAATTGTAGATTTTTTTTTGTATCGCGAGAAAAGGCTTGTTATACGCGGCGCAGGCCAGAGCACGTTCGAAAGTGGCACCAGTCATAATTTGCATCAGACGGAGGATGGGTTATAGAGAATTGAAAGTGTAGGTCTGTGCGTAAAGGTATGAGCGCAACTGATCACTGACAGCATGGGGCCACATAACACGTGAACCACTGGGGTAGTTCTTCAAGATCTGAACAAGATCTAAAGATTACTCCAACCAAAGTGGCAGCCCTTGGCCGACTGTCCTCTCTTCCGCTTCCTCTTCGTTATTGACTTAAACATCAGAGAAAGCATTTCTTTAGAAATGGAAACTGATCAAAGCTAAATCCTGAAGAATAACCAAATATTTTTACCGACTTTTCTCGGTTACGTTTTTTATAAAGCCATGTTAATCACAAAAAGAATTTAATTTTTTCCAAAATACCTTTTTTTTAATTCAAATAAACATAGACATACATATGTATCAGTTTGTTCATTTGTCAGTTAAATACATACATATGTTGTTTGCNGATTTCTTTTTAATATTATATTTTTAATTTTATTTCACTTTACTTTATTTTATTTTGTTTTTATTCAGAAAGTACCACCATGACCCACCTCGTGAATTATGACGGGAATGAAGATTCGTCAGTGTCCGGTAATAGCACTGAATGGTTGACAGTGTCAAAGGCTTTTTACAGATCCAGTGCTACGAGAACAGGGAGGATTATCTGGGTGCTTGGCGACGTATTCTGCTCTTGCTGGAACCAGATGTTTTAGCATCAGCATGCGTATTCCACCGGAGCCGATGGACTTGGAGGCAGCTAAATTGTAGAAGAATATTTTTGTATCGCAGGAAAGGTTCGTTATGCACAGCCCGAGAGGGTTATGCATGGACTATTGTTGATTGTGTTGCAGGAGTAAAACTATAACCCAAAGGGTGTTTTTGAAGAATGTTGTTTGTTGTCTGCAGGGCATACACCAACAGCATAAGCTTACATACACATCACTCACGGCTGGTGCGCAGGCCAGAGCACGTTCGAAAGTGGCACCAGTCATAATTGCATCAGACGGAGGATGGGTTATAGAGAATTGAGAGTGTAGGTCTATGCGTAAAGGTTAGAGCGCAACTGATCACTGACAGTATTAGGCCACATAACACATGATCCACAGGGGTAGTTCTTCGAGGTCTGAGCAGATCTAAAGATTACTCCAACCCAAGTGGCAGCCCTTGGCTGACTGTCCTCTCTTCTGTTTCCTCTTCGTGATTGACTTAAACATCGGAGAAAGCATTACTTTTCGGGTACCAGCGAAATTTATTGCACATTACTAACACTAGGAATGGAAACTGATCAAAGCAAAATCCTGAAGAATAACCAAATATTTTTACCGACCGTTTTTTATAAAGCCATGTTAATCACAAAAAGAATTTTATTTTTTCCAAAATACCTTTTTTTAATTCAAATAAACATAGACATACATATGTATCAGTTTGTTCATTTGTCAGTTAAATACATACATATGTTGTTTGCAAAAGCAACGGTCAGTGGCAATCTAAGAGAATCGTAATTTACACAAGTGTGTTTTTTTTCTTCATAATTTATTTTCTAGTATTAATAAGGTTTTTTCATGCATTTTTTTTTCGCAATTTATCTCTTTTCCTTTAAATAAACATAAAATGAACGAATATCTCTCGCTCTTCGAAATTTCCAAAAACGATAGATAACATTTTGATTATGCGTAAAAAGTAGTTTTACTAAAAGAAAATCGGATAAGTATATACATATGTATGTGTTGGTGTTTACAATTTAATTGGGTGAACTTAGCTCATGATTACTTTAAAATTTGCCGGATATTATTCTTTTCTTCGGTTTCTATGAAATTACATTAAAATTTTTTAGTTGAATCTGTTGTATTATTTAGGGTGATATATTGGACAAATAAACGTAGAAGAAAATGAAATGAGTAAGGTAGGCATACGTATGTGACAATTGAAAATAGGTAATTGGCGCTTGGCGCATGCGCTCGGTCACAATTTTTAACGAAGGATTTTTTTTTTACGAGTACGGCGATGTTTGAGTTGGAAATCAGTTTCGTTGAAATTCACCTCGTTACCGACGCATTTGAAAGCCAGTGGACCCGTCTGGTCCGCGTGGTAAACGCAAAATGCTCTCTTGTTGTTGTTGCCGTAAGGCTGACGAGGATACACTGCCGCCGACCACGGGCGACCAAGTTTGATTTTGTGGCTGTGGCTTCGGATGTTGATGTTGATGCTGGTGTTGTAGCGTAGTCGGAAGCGGAAGTGGCAGCAACGCTGACATTGAACGTGTATTGTAGGCGGGTGGTATCTGTTGTTGTTGTTGCTGCAGCTGTTGCTGCTGTTTTTGTTGCTGCATATAGTAATAATTAGCTTGCTGCTGTAAATGTTGTTGTTGTTGTTGTAATTGCTGATGTTGCTGCTGCATTTGATTGTTATAATAATTATTGTACAGATTATGAGGCGAACCGTTGCCACCACCACCACCACCACCACCTGCACCGCCGCCTTTGTTACCAGACGGATTGCCTTTTGGCGAATTGCCCTTGTACGTATTATTTGTTGTGCTGGCAGTCGTACTGACAGTGGCCGTTGCTGGTACATTCGAACTGCTCGACATGTTTGAAGCGCTACAATTATATAGAAAACAACAGTTTTATATAAACAGATATTGAAATTCATAAATATATTTATATACTTGGTATCATCTTCGGGATTTTTCGCTGCGCCTAGTATACGCAAACGCGCCTCCGCATACTCTTGTTCACGTTGTTGCAACGTTTTTATAGGCTGACGCGGTTTAATGCCATTATTACGCGGCTCCATTGATTGAGTTGGACGGCGTAATATTTTCACAGTCTGCAAGTTCGTTGGAGACGCATACGTCTGAGACTGATACTCATCGGCTGGTTGGTTGAGCAACATCATAACCGGTTGAAATGAAGCGGCCATATCGTCAAGTGGTGACTTTGAATCAGCTGCAGTGGTGGTCTGCATGCTACTACTTGGAGAATTATTTGCATTGCGTTGTAAAAGTTTCATCGGAACGTTTGCGGCGACAACAGGCCCTGAAAATTCAGCTATTGAGAACGTTGATTGATTGGGATCGTTTGTAGATGAGGCTGGATATATTGTTGTTTTGGGCAATTCTGCTATTGAAGATAAAGAAGTACTTGCTAAAGTTGATGACAACTCTTTAGAATTGTCAGTTTGCTTTTGTTGAGTATCCTGCCTCTTTTGTATCTTCTGCAGTGTGTTTGACAACTGAAAAATAAATGCAATTAAGTAAACATGAAATTAAATTTATGTACAATTATTATCATTATTACACCAGCTTCATCAATTTCTTCCCAGTTATCTAGTACTTCGTCACCATTGGACATTTCTGGTTGGCGGCAGTTCAGTAGACTATTGTGTACAAAGTTCCTCAGACTCGTTTAACTTTGTACGACTGTTTACCCACAATAACAAAGTCGAGGTTTTACAGTGATTAAATCTTCAAAAAGCGAAACTGCAACTTGCCTAATATCACTTTTGCCTTCTGTACGCTGCCAACGCTGAAACGTCGTCTGTTACTGTCGTTGCTCTGCTTTGCCTTTCACTTTCGTCTTTTCCTGCTGTTCGCCCTGTTCCGTTTACCTTTGTTCATGAATAATCCATGTGTAAGGTTTAAATAACTATTATTTATTAAATCTTTTCTTTTCCGGCTGTTCTTGGTGTTGCATACAGTTTGGGAAACCTGTCTAGCGATTGTATAGTCGCTCTTCCTATTACGTTCACTGACACTAGCAATGCTGTTGCTGCTTCCACAACTTCCAGTTCCTCGTTGCCTTTTCACAGTTTCTTTCGCCTCAGCCAGCGTTGCAAATTTTCCACCACCACACAATGCGTTTTCGCGATTTCACAATCTGCTTCTCTAACTGATAGCAAATTTGAAAATTTCTATTTAAACTCTTTCACTAAGAATTTCACACGCTTTTTTCAAAGAATTTACATGAAATGTGTGAAATTTGGGTGGAATATTAAATTGCTATGCTTCTCTGCCACCGTTGCTGCTGCAACTTCTCAACTTCTCAACTTCCACGAAGCACGACCACGACGATAAAGAAAGGAATGATGAGCAATCATAAAAGAAAAAGAGACTGAAAAGAAAGAAAATTATGGAATGTGGATTGCATTTAGGTGTATTCACTTACTTCAGTATTACTGCTCTACCTCAATTTGAGCGTTGAGCGTTAAACAACTGTCAAAAATCCACATGGCAACAAATTTTGTAAGAGCAAATGGAATTTTCAATTTTGACAACGCGTTATATGATGAAGTTAGATGTGAAGCATAAAAGTGTGAAAGAGAGAAGAAAAAACTGACGAAGAATAAAGGTTCTCGACAAGCCCGTCTGAATATAAACTTGTTCGAAGATCAGTATAATTATCGTATAAGTTGTGAGTCTGTACCCATCGACGACGCCGTAAAAATAAAATTTTGAACGGCGATGTAATCTAATGACAATTTCAATATTTTGCTCAGCTGACATTCCAAACTGATAGCTATTTTTATATCATTTCGTTTTATTTGTGTTTCCTCAATTAACCAATAATAACGCGATTTGGGAGCAAAAGAAATTAAAATTAATCAGTGCAACATCGTAGATACATACATATAACTATCTAAAAGTAATATTGAAGCCAATTTAAAAGGGTCACAGAAAGTCGTAATAATGGATTTCACAACATTTGCCAAACCAAGCACAGTCGATACAAATAATGATAAAAGTAACTCGGATCTTCACTTTTGGAAGCATGTGGAGTATATCGAGAATCACGGTAAGGATCAGGACGATTTTGAATACTGCATGACAGAGTTTCTACGTATGTCGGGCATCTACTGGGGTGTAACTGCCTTAGATATAATGAACCAGCTGGATCGCCTCGACCGCAAGTCAATTATAGATTTTATACGTCGCTGCCAATGTCCGGTGACAGGTGGCTTTGCGCCATGTGAAGGTCACGACCCCCACATGCTGTACACGCTGTCTGCCATACAAATTCTATGCATTTATGACGCTTTAAACGAAATTGATTGTGAAGCTGTGGTGCGCTACGTGAGCGGTTTACAACAATTCGATGGTAGCTTTTTTGGTGACAAATGGGGGGAGGTAGATACACGTTTTAGCTTTTGTGCTGTGGCCATACTTACGCTATTGGGGCGCATGGAAGGCACAATTAATGTTGAACGTGCAGTAAAATTCGTAATGTCGTGTTGTAATCAAACCGATGGCGGTTTCGGTTCAAAACCAGGCGCTGAATCGCACGCTGGCCTAATTTATTGCTGTGTAGGCTTTTTATCCTTGACGCAAAGCTTGCATCTGCTCGACATCGATAAGTTGGGTTGGTGGTTGTGTGAACGTCAGCTAACATCAGGTGGACTTAATGGGCGTCCTGAAAAGTTGCCAGATGTCTGTTACTCTTGGTGGGTGCTCTCATCGCTGACCATTATGGGCCGCTTACATTGGATTAGCGCCGATAAATTAAAAGAATTCATATTGTCATGTCAAGACAACGAAACTGGTGGCTTTGCAGATCGCACCGGAAATTTGCCCGACATTTTTCATACACTTTTTGGCATAGGCGCACTCTCGCTACTGGGCTTTGAGGGACTCAAACCGATTAATCCAACACTGTGCATGCCACAATATGTAATTGATCGTTTGGGCATTGAACCGCAAATATTGCCAAGACCATGAAGGAAGAGAAATGTGTATCGAAAATTACTATTACTATTATAAGTTAAATAAAGTTTTGCACGGCAACTTCAAGTGCTTTATTTGGGTCGCAAAAAGGTTGCATATATTAGTTAAAAAATTAACAAAAAAAATATTTAAATCGATTTTGTGCATGAAATAGCTTTGTTAAACAATATAAGACCGCTCAACAGTTATGATATATTAAACATACATATTTTATTATGGAACAATTGTAAAATTGATTTGTCGAAGCCGAATCAAAGATATACATATGTAGCTTTATTTTTGCACTAAATATTCAAATATTTGTTTACACATAAACCTAGCTAATAAATGGAAGAATAATAAAAACTGCATATAATAAATAATAAAAAATCATATCTCTTCATTTCAACCAAGCAGGTAATGAAATAGTTATCAATAAAGAAAAACCTAATTTATTTTTATACCCATATGTGTGCATGTATGTTGATTTTAGCTATGGTAAGACAATTTCTAAAACCAGTAAAATGTTAAAATTTTAGAAAGATTTCGTACTATATGAAATCTGAGAAAATAATTTTTCCTTTTTTACATCACCTAACCTAACATTATTAACTCAGATAAAAATAATATTTTTGCATATTTTATTAATTACTTTATTTTTCAATCGAGTTGGGCTAATAAACTACAGAGAATAAAATATAATACATTCAAGCATTAGTGCATTGTTTATAACAAATTACAATTAAATTTTGGTGATATTTACAGTACACAAAACAGTTTTGGAAATCCCAAACAATCTCATCTAATAAAGGTACTAAATACATAAAAAAATTTAAATGTTTTATACACTTTGATTACATAGTTTATTTACATTATTAAAATATTGCTACAAATTCATAAAGCGAAATTCCACACGAACATATTTACAAATTCACGGCGAACACATGGTGTTTAACGCTACATATGTGACTTAAAAACAACATAATACAAACACATTCAAACTATAGTTAAAAGAAAACGGTTTTGTTAAAAGACTTTCTATTTCAAATACAATAAAGTGGAAATAATTTAATTTAATAAGGCACTAAGACGTTTAGTTTTGAATATCATTATTAGTAGCGCTGAGTCGTTGATAATTTACGTATATATTATATACATATTAGCCTCGAGTATCTTCTTCTCGTAAGCATACGCTGTCTGCCATAAAACTAGCATTGCCTTCATACCGTTTTGTTGAAATATTTTCTTTAAGTACTACAAACTATATAGCACTTAAATTGTATCAGCACTACACATTACTTACATATGATTGAATACACTGTGAATGTGCCTGTGTTTTTGTTTTTGTTTTTTTTTTTCTTTTCTTATTTTGTTATAGTTACTATTTCAGAGTTAGGAATTATACTTTTCATCGCTGGTCAAAACGTTGTAAGCACAGCCGAGCGCCCAAGAAATCTCATGTCCATCAATTTTTTTATAAAGCTTTAAAGATATTTATATAAGTTAGTTGGCGTAATAACTTTCATTTAACTATATAGTTACCTTTATTTTTTTACTGTCACCTAAGCCGAATCCCTCACGTAGCAACGTCGAAATGAACGTCAAATCAAAGCACATGAACGGTTGTTCATCATTCGCAATGCTACAGATTTCTTCGGCCTTTTTGCGATATGCAGCAACTGTGATCTCACCACCCTGGAAGGGATCAATAAGTCCTGACTCAATGGCACGTTCGAAATAATAACTGAACGCAGCCACGGTGTGTTGCTTCAATGAGAATGGCTTTGGTTTTACCAATGGTAGGACTTGGGTTTTTACTGCCTCCAAACACTGTTCGAAATCTACGGTTGGCTCCTCGGCTGTGGATTTCGGGTTTGGTTTGCCACTACAAAACAAACAAAAAAATAAAATGTTTAAAGAAAGTGAAAAAAAAAACAAAAAAAAACAATAGTGCACCACTCACCTGATTTTATACTCAACATTTGAATAGGTCCNTAAATATTCAAATATTTGTTTACACATAAACCTAGCTAATAAATGGAAGAATAATAAAAACTGCATATAATAAATAATAAAAAATCATATCTCTTCATTTCAACCAAGCAGGTAATGAAATAGTTATCAATAAAGAAAAACCTAATTTATTTTTATACCCATATGTGTGCATGTATGTTGATTTTAGCTATGGTAAGACAATTTCTAAAACCAGTAAAATGTTAAAATTTTAGAAAGATTTCGTACTATATGAAATCTGAGAAAATAATTTTTCCTTTTTTACATCACCTAACCTAACATTATTAACTCAGATAAAAATAATATTTTTGCATATTTTATTAATTACTTTATTTTTCAATCGAGTTGGGCTAATAAACTACAGAGAATAAAATATAATACATTCAAGCATTAGTGCATTGTTTATAACAAATTACAATTAAATTTTGGTGATATTTACAGTACACAAAACAGTTTTGGAAATCCCAAACAATCTCATCTAATAAAGGTACTAAATACATAAAAAAATTTTAAATGTTTTATACACTTTGATTACATAGTTTATTTACATTATTAAAATATTGCTACAAATTCATAAAGCGAAATTCCACACGAACATATTTACAAATTCACGGCGAACACATGGTGTTTAACGCTACATATGTGACTTAAAAACAACATAATACAAACACATTCAAACTATAGTTAAAAGAAAACGGTTTTGTTAAAAGACTTTCTATTTCAAATACAATAAAGTGAAAATAATTTAATTTAATTTAATTTAATAAGGCACTAAGACGTTTAGTTTTGAATATCATTATTAGTAGCGCTGAGTCGTTGATAATTTACGTATATATTATATACATATTAGCCTCGAGTATCTTCTTCTCGTAAGCATACGCTGTCTGCCATAAAACTAGCATTGCCTTCATACCGTTTTGTTGAAATATTTTCTTTAAGTACTACAAACTATATAGCACTTAAATTGTATCAGCACTACACATTACTTACATATGATTGAATACACTGTGAATGTGCCTGTGTTTTTGTTTTTGTTTTTTTTTTTCTTTTCTTATTTTGTTATAGTTACTATTTCAGAGTTAGGAATTATACTTTTCATCGCTGGTCAAAACGTTGTAAGCACAGCCGAGCGCCCAAGAAATCTCATGTCCATCAATTTTTTTATAAAGCTTTAAAGATATTTATATAAGTTAGTTGGCGTAATAACTTTCATTTAACTATATAGTTACCTTTATTTTTTTACTGTCACCTAAGCCGAATCCCTCACGTAGCAACGTCGAAATGAACGTCAAATCAAAGCACATGAACGGTTGTTCATCATTCGCAATGCTACAGATTTCTTCGGCCTTTTTGCGATATGCAGCAACTGTGATCTCACCACCCTGGAAGGGATCAATAAGTCCTGACTCAATGGCACGTTCGAAATAATAACTGAACGCAGCCACGGTGTGTTGCTTCAATGAGAATGGCTTTGGTTTTACCAATGGTAGGACTTGGGTTTTTACTGCCTCCAAACACTGTTCGAAATCTACGGTTGGCTCCTCGGCTGTGGATTTCGGGTTTGGTTTGCCACTACAAAACAAACAAAAAAATAAAATGTTTAAAGAAAGTGAAAAAAAAAACAAAAAAAAAACAATAGTGCACCACTCACCTGATTTTATACTCAACATTTGAGTAGGTCCATGTACGGTTGTTGATAATAGGATTTACGCAAACTGATTCCAGTGCAGTTACGTCTTTACCGAAACCCTTCGTGAATACGGAGTGACGCGCCGCCATTAAGCCTAAACCTAAGTAACTATGTGTGAATACAGCAATTTGTCGATTCAATGTGTTTACTTCGTGCATGTATTTTTCATAGAGTGGCAGCTGATCAGGATCGGTTGGTGCAAAAGTCACTTGTGTACTGCCGCCACCTAAATCTAAAGCTGCAGCATGATTGGCTTTGGAGAGTTTTCCCAGCAAGAAGTTCACCGTGAACCAAGAGAAAATACCCTCATCGGTGCCATCCATGATTTCAACTGCATCGGGTTCAATACTGAATTCTGATTTGGCGAAAAGTTCACGTACGGCATTCAATAGATTTTCCGCCTTGTGTTGTGGTAATAAACGCAGGCCAGCTGTAGCTTTAAGTACGAGTGGCGTGGATGACCATTTCTCTTTGGGTATGAAAGCCTTGGCTTCATCAAGCAGCAGTTTTATGGAATGTGCACCTTGTGCGGGGTTTTCGGCAAAAGACGATAGGCCGGGTTTGCGTTCTTTGAAGAGTTCCTCCGATAAGACCAGCTTATTGTCTTTAAGAGAGTATGCAAAATTAATAATATTTAAATATATATGTGTATAATTACTATTTATTTACCAATAAAACTTCTATCGAATTTATAAGCCAACACACGACTACCAGTCGAACCAGCATCGATGATAACTGCAAATTGGTTACGCGTATAACCCAGACGCGATGCTAAGCGTACAAAGAAGGGACTCGTGGCATCCGTATAGACGCCTAAAATAGCATAAATAGTAATACTTACGCGAAAAAAGTAAATAATTCATTAAATATTTACCAAAAAGCAATAGCAGGAACGTAGCCGACAATACAAGGCAAAGAAATGTAAGCTTGAGTCCTCTGGGAAAACTCTTTGAGCCATCATTGGAGCTTGCAGGCTTGCGTCGATTTGGTACAGCGCCATCCGCCTTATCATCGTTTGTGCTCAACTAATATGAAATCAAATATTTTTGTTAAATTTTTACTTTTAATAACCTTATTTTATAAAAATGTGGGCAAAGCTCACCAACTGGTATTCAAACATCATTCTGCCAACTACGACTCAGTTAGACATTCTGTCCGAGCTTGTAGTCTGTTTGCGACTAAAATACAGCTTTGTAAATATTTGGCTTTTGTTTTATTAATTAATAACAATGGCAAGTGTTTTTGTGTCGAAATTTGTTTTTTCTAAATTCGGCAATTGTGTAGTGTCAAAAATAATTTGTTATTGCCGAAGAATAGCGGTGTGAAAAGTAAACGCAAAAACTCTTCGCGAAAGTCAGCTGTACGCTGGGTAACGTAAAGCTTGTGCGTAAGTAGAGAAAATGAAAATGAGCTTCAACGCTTGCCGTAACGTCTGTGCACAGTGGGGAGACTATCGAAATAAAAAACAAACTAAATTTCTAAGAAAATTATATATTTTTTTTTTCAAGTTTTCTAAAAACAAGTAAAATTTATTAAATTTATAAAACTGAATTTCGTTTCGATTAAAAGAAAACAGTTTAGAGCAAAATTAATTTTTAAATGTTTTGTAAAATTCTTTGTCTTGAATATAGATTTTTTTAATTTTCCGAATTGACAACTATTCACTTTGTGTATCATTATAAAGAGCCTTTGATAAATAACATAACACACTAAACACATAAATTATTATCTTATCTGAGCAATTTAATAATTTTCCGAAAAAAAAACACATTAACTGTAAAATTTAACACCAGAACAAGTTATCTATTATCAGTCAAATATATAAGAGTGTATGTATGTATGAAAAAATGTAAGAGTGTGTAAAAAAAATTGTGTCTAAAGAAATTTGTATTGTGTTTATTTAAAATAAATTATGAAATTCTTTCTATAATCATGAATTTCAAACGTCGTCAAATACATACACGCATATATGCATGTAACTATGCGCATTTATTTAAATTATTGTACATACACGTATAGAGTATGAAATTGTTTATACATATGTAGGTGTATTTATCACAAATTAACAAACGAGAAATAAAAAGCTTCTGTTCAAAGGCATGATTTGCACATTTTTAAATTTTTGCCCTATGCGTGCATGACTTGCATGCGCTGTAATCTTTAATGGGTACGTGTGTTGATTTTAATTTTAATAATTTCTACTTAAAAAAAAAAGCATTTTGATATTACGGTAAAGAAGGTTGGTTATTAGAAATTTGAATGATAAGTAACGAAATGAATTTTCGTAAGGGAATAGATTTCATACATACATTAATTCTAATTAATATTAATATTTATGAATTATTGCCTACACCGTTTTTGATCTAAAAACTACCGGACTTTAAAAAAATATGTTTTTTTTTATTCAATATAATATACGTACATATGTGTGTACATATATATTTATTTATGTCCCTACGAATAAATGATGTATCAATTGGTTTTATTCATTTTTGTTTTGTTTTTTTTTGTTTGTTTGGTTTTTGTTTAATTAAATGTCTTAACAATGCCCAGTACAAGTACAACATACTCATACAATGCTGCAATTGAGTGTCATTAAACTTGGCAACAATGTGCGAAGTTATATATAGAAAAAACGATTTTTAATCGCATACTAAATTAGTTCATTTTTTTTTGTAATAGGGTAGCGTAATTATTCAACAAGCTCACTCGATGAAAAATTTAGATTTGTTGGCTTATACATACAGATGTACATAATAATTATGCCTTAAGTACATACATAAAGATTTCGCAGATTAAATAATCCGTAGAATAATTATTAAATTATTTTAAAATTCAAAATTTGTTAATTATTGTTGTTTTTTTTTGTTTGTACCCAACATAAATTACAAATATTTTAAATCTTTTAAACGTGTGTTTGTGCTCTTTACAAATCAGAAAGTAGAAAATTGTTAACCATTGAAATTTAGGCCGGTAAAACCTGCTTGCCCTACAAGTAACCTTTTACTAAGCTCCCAAACACAGAGGCTTTGGTTAAGGTTCTAATTAATGGCTACTCAAAAAGGTTATGAAAAAAATTTAAATATAAGTGTTTTTCTTTACTTACATTCCGTTTTCGCAAATCTCCTGGCGACGTCATCTTTATTTAATTATTTGCTAAATAGCTTATTTCACAGTAAAACGTAGTTAAATTATGTAAAAAAAAAACACTTCAATTAATTGAATTCATTTACTCGGTGTGTAAGTGTTGCTAATTCAGGCGTATCTCTCGGTATAAACTATATAAATTTTATCAAATCACTGCTTGATGTGTTTACTTTGTTTATCACGGCTCTACAAGTTGTTCATGTTTTTCAATTCAGCGTGTTATAAGTTCGTTTGTGCACACGTCGTATTTGTTGGCTACACAAGTAAATATTCCTCCTATTCGTTATTGTCCAGCACAAAAACAATGATGACTAGATACGAAACTCTTTATTCCGTGAGAGCGCTCAAAAATCCGCATTTTTTATAACATTTCTGAACAGTGCCACTGTGATGGAAAAACGACTTATTTGGATTTTTAGGTATATTTTGGGTATTTTATTACAAACAACGACGTCTTTAATTGCAATTTCACTGAAAAATTTCATTGAGAAACAATTCAGTATTTAATTATATTAAGTTTTAGTAATAAAATTACAATAATTTCTTTAATATTTACTGCTGAAGCAAATTTCTTTTGAAACAAAAATAATGGATTTTTTTATTGGCATAGTGGCACTGGTGCTTTTTGCACATCAGATGTTGAATGTTCCCCGATCTGACACTGCTGCCAACATTAGAATGTGAGATGGGGGAACGCTCTCAGCTGCGATTTGAGTAAGTTTCGTATCTAGTCATCTTTGACAAAAATGCTTCAATGCGATTTAATTTTACATGAACTACTGAAATTTCCAATTACCTGAATTGACACAGCAACCGGCGATGCAGCAAACAAACACACAAATATGTAGTTAATAGAGTATGTAATAAAATGAAATATGGTAGCCCTTTAAGGCAAATTGTATGCAACCCTGCAGTATCAGGTGAACCCAAACAAAGGTTCATGATTCTCTTGATTGTTCTTATTGAAATTAAGAACAAGAATTCATTTCAGAAAAGATTCATAGTCATGTTGAATAGAAATAACACATAAAGACCCCTAAATACATATTTAAAAGTTAAAAGTTTGGAAAAAAAAACAACATAAAGAAGAATAAATAGGCTACGCAATCAGTTAGATTAGGTTAGGTCGTAACGGCTATCGTTGTACGATATCACAAGGTCTAGAATTTGAGGCATTGCTATCCCAACAACTATCTAGCTATCTTAGAAAGACTTTCCAGCAACGTGGTTATGTAATTCAAAGTAGGCCAGACGCAAAAAAAAATGAGTGCTCGTTTCCCCACCATCATCTTACTTGCAACTTACTGCATTATCTATCTGTAAGGGGCTCTTAGCTTCTCTGTATACCCTCTAGACAAAGGGCTATCAGAATTATTGTTAACTAGTACATGTTTCCACTTTTCAAGAATTACATTTCTCGTTATCTCTTTATGATTCATTTCGCCCAGTTTTATCTAAATTTGTGGTGAGTTGTAGTTTTATTCCACCTTAACACAGCCTATTCATAGCGAAATTGTTTTCACTGTGAGGGATAGTCTATTCTGTCTGTCTGTATGATTTTGAAATCTTTGATTACTGCCAAACGTTGAAAATAGAGATATTATTACCTTTAAGGCCGGTAGAAACAGTTTGAACTATACGCTAGAAATCTTGTTGTTATAAACGCCAAAAATATTCCCCAAAATTTGTTTTCGTAAAATGTAGCTGGAGCGGGAGTCCTTGGCTGGAAGGAATCGGGTTATTCCGGTAAAAAAGACCGCACTGTCCCGTTAACTATTGGATTTTAGTTATTACGAAGATAAATTCTTGAACCCTAACCCTTAGCTGTATTTGCTGCTTTCATGTGTTTGCCAATTTACTCAAATCTACAGTTTAATTTAAAAGCTTTCAAAACAATCATTATGCTCACACTTCCTAATCGGTATTGCTAAGAAAGGACAAACAGAAACCCCTACGGGTTAGGGGCTCAAGAATTTACCCTCTGTAAGGCATGCCTGTCGTAAGAGGCGACTAAGATCCAATAGTTCCCGCGACAGTCGGGTCTTTATACCGGAACGACCCGGATTTTTATCCGGCCAAGGACTGTCACTCAAGCAACATTCCACAAAAATTACTTTGGGGAATAATTTTGCGGCTACAACAACAACAACAACAGAAACGGAAACTAATATCGCAACGGTTCTTTTCTAATTGAATTCCGTGAAAACTCGAAATGATTTAAATAAAAATGAAATAATTCAAAATTTATCTTACAATTGGAATATAGATTCCAATTCGATTATTTCCAATTATGATTGGTTTAATCCCGTTTTCGGTAGAAATCCGATTTCCGTAGAATTTTGACGCACCGAATTAATGGTTAGTCTAACAAATTTAGCACACTTTTCTGTGATTCTCATTATTTTATTTGAGAACATGGCAGCGCTGGCCCGTCAAAGTCAGCTGTTAAGAAGGGATGTATTTATAGTAGTATACACTCTTTTCCACTAATGTTGTTGTTGCACCAGTGTGATATTCCACTGAAATCTTCATACAAGAATCAAGTCAAAATAAATTGCACAGCAAACAAGTATACAACTGATTGCGCGTGTTGACTTATATAAAATAAAATTAGTCAAATACAAATAATTCTTGCAGAGTTCTTGAGTCGTGCGGTTGTCGATTTTACTTTCGTACAACTGTGTGCAAGTGTTTAAATCTACATATTCAAAGTTGTTAACAAGTTGTGTCGATACAACAAAATAAAATCTATTTGCATGTAGCAAGCGTGTAGAAAAATTATAAATTTAGAAAAAAAAATTACACACCATAAAAGAGCAAAAATCGATTTTATAACATAAGAAAAAAAATATATATTTTATAAAAGGGCAAAAAAATCAATTACTTACTGTGCAAAGCGACGGTCATACTTGGCGAGATAGAAAAGAAAGCGGATAAAAATGAGTGAAGAAGTGAACAATCAACACAATGGCACAAGCAACAACGCCCAGTTGGTGACCGGCGAAGGCCCTACCAATAACAGCCGCCAAAGTCAAGATCAGCAGCAACAAACAACCGAACAACCTACGGTAGAGAAGAAAGAGGTGCGAGTCTGGTGTGATGGATGGTGAGTCATAGCATTATTGCTCATATTGATGCAAAAAAAAAAAAACAAAAAAACTAGAAATTGCAGTTTAGTCGAGCAAATGGGAAATACTAGCAAACAGGAAACGATGTGCTAATGTAGGCCACTTACATTCATGTACATATATTTATTATATATATGTATATGTACATATGTATATATATAATGTAGCTGCTAAGGGCAAAATTTGTATAATATGAAAAAAGAAAATTTATAACCACAAGCATCATGACGTACAATTTCTTTTAACAATTGTGCGTCAACTATGCGGGAAATAAAATTTCAGCATTTCCGGTTGTTTTTTTTTTTAAGAAACATACTGATATCATTTAACCAATTAGAAGTTGTGATACAAAAATAATGAATTTTATACGTCTGATTGCAGCAAGTGCTTTACAAATGATAATGGCATATTATTTACTGATGCAGTTGTTGTTGTTATTATAATTTTTATTTTTATTGTTTGTTGATGATGCAGTTATTTGACGACATGTGTGTGTTCAAAGGTCACTAGGTTTCTATATCTTTGCACAATCATATATTGTACATATGTATGTATGTAGGTACGCCCTTGACCTTGTCTCAAGCGAAAATATTGCATTGCAATGAAATGCACAATAAACAAACAACAATATTTTCATTATCAGTAGTTTGCAAATGTATCTAGCCGCGTTGTTTTGCACATAACGTCAAATATTACATATGTACATACGCCTGTGCAGTTAATTGAATCTGCAGCTACCCATTGGTTAATAAATTGACTATGTTACATGTACACTTGTATG